CAGAACGAAACGAAACAATTGAAAAGTCACTTCTCCTTTCTGATTCGCTTCGCCATATTTTCTTCAGCATTTTAAGAACCGTTATTTTAATACTTTTGACAATGAATTTTTCCTGCATGTTATTTTTTTATCTGTGCATCTCTTATCTGCGCATATTCCTATTCTGTCTCATGATTGACAAGAAAACTGGCAGTGTTTTGGGAACAGCCTCATGTGATCAGATCACCAGAGGAAACATGATGTCTTGTACATTCTCTTTGCATGGTGTCTCAATCTCAAACCAATCTGTTTCCACTTTCTGAATGACCCTTGGTTAGACTTCATATGCTTTTTTGTTCCTGTCTTGTACGCTAATGGACCACACGCTGTTAAATAGAGCTTAGGAGAGCAGGCAGTCATGTACCAGTTCATTAGCTATCAATGTTAAACTTTAGCTAAAATTCACTGCCAACCAAAACTTCTGTGTTTCTGAATGTATTACTTGGAAAACTGTATTTGAATTAACAGTATTGTAATTATTATCGAAAACTTCAATTTTTCCCAGAAACCATGGCAAAAGTTGATGTTTTGAGCATTTCTTGACCCTTATTAAGAACAAAACTCAAGACTAGAGGATTTAACACTCTTAAAGGCATCTGAGTAATATATATATATATGTATAAATATATACATGTAAATATATATATTTTTTTTCTTTCATCAAACTATTTTAAATTGAGAAGTGTGCAGGCAATTATAACAGTACTGACTTTTTTTGTGTGTGTTTTTAATAGTTTAGGATTGAACATGTACAGCTGCTAAAACAACTGCTAAAATGTATAAAAATAGTTTTAATAGTGTTGAATTTCTTAGTATAATCTTTTGTTATTGTTGTAATATTTTTAATATATGCAGATTGGTACAGAGCCCTGCATATGACATGCGGATAAAAATATACATATCATGGCCACGAATTAGGAATTTGTTCTAGATTTAAGTAAATCATGCACATGATATAATAATTCGTTCCCTCGCTTTACTACTGTGCACGTTACAATATTATACTTCCGTCTCTCGATTTAGCAGTGTTTGAAATGTTACTTTTGGAATCATGAAAATTTATTTTAGCTTAGGTTTTTTTATTCCAGTTATGTTTATTTTTATTTCAGTTAACAGAAGGGTTTTCGTTTAGTTCTCGTATCTGGCTTACATTTTACAAGACATTTGTGAGCTAGAGGTTTTTGTTGTTTATTTTATTTTTATTCTAAACTTTAGTACTCAAAGTATAATTTAAGTTTCTGGGGGAACTCTCTGAGTCTTGTTAGTCTTAACTGCCATGCTAATCAGGAAAAAAATCTGGTTTAGTACAAAAAACAGAAGTTTAAGAAACAGCCAGTCTCAATTAAAATGACTTCAACTACACAGCCACAGAGATTGGGCAGGCCGGTATCTGTTATCACTCACTGTCGTCCACAACAAAAGAGTGAGCCAGTTGGACATCTGATAGTGTAGTGGTGATTACAGTTAATTATCCCATTGATTTTAAAGGGACAGACATACTTAATCGTTTCCGTAAAGCGCTATTGAACTAAATTGGACCGCCATCCGTAGTCATTATGTGGTTTGTGAAAAGATAATGCAGTGCATGATTATACAGTATAACAAACCACTTTGATTTCTTCAAAACAAACTTTTGTTTTTGAAGAAAAAGGAAGAAATGCACTTTTGCTAATACACTGCCTAATAGATTTATTCCATGTAGTGATTTTCACTTTCTGATTTCTCAGTTATTATTTAAAATTGTGTTATTTGCTATTTTTTATATTTCCTTTGTATACAGTAAAACTTAAATCTGTACAATTAACAATAAGAGTAAACACTCCAGTAAATTCTCCAGAAACCCTGACAAGTTTGGAAATAATTTCCGCTTGCGTTCTTTGATATTATCAGTGGTGTCTGTCCAGAGAGATTCAACCCAGCCCACTCCATAATGATATAAAATAACTGGAAGTCATTACCATTATCTAGAAATTGCTGTATAATGTATTTTGTGTTGCGTCACACAACGCTGTTTGATGTCATAAGAGTTTCTATCCAGTTCTATAAACAACAAAAAAAGTTTTTGTTTTTTTACAGAGGTAATTTTTTGGAGAGTTTCTTTGGTTTTCATTGTTTTGTTTTTGCATCTGTGCCATGTGTAAATACTTTGTATATCTGGAACAAAAGCACAGTGCTGTGTGTTTGGACCTACTGTATAGGATGGGATAAATCAAGGGAATGTAACTTTGCTTTTCATTTATTACTTAAAGCTCACTTCATAAAGCTACTACATCAGGGATAGGCAACTTCGGTCCTGGAGGGCCACTTTCCTGCAGAGTTTAGCTCCAAACCTAATTAAACACACCTGAGCAAGGCAATCAAGTTTTTCAGGATTACTAGATAGATACAGGCAGGTGAGTTTTTAATCAGGGCTGAACTCTACAGGACAGTGGCCCTCCTGGACTGAAGTTGCCTAACTACTAGCCTAACTGATAAAGTTCACACATTATTTAAAACAAGTGAACAGTCAGTAATAAAATAAGAACAAATGCACAAATTACAAGCAGAGATTAATACTAAATAACTAAGTTGCAAAGTCTAACAGTATTCAGGTTGTGTGCTGTCACTTTAAGACCGACTGCACATAACGAAAAAACTGGCAAGCATCCGGTTTCTTTCTCAACCGTTCACTTATGACATAAACGTGAGAATAAATACTTGCCGAGATGGGTATTTTGACATAATTTTGTGTTTATGTGTCCGTTCAAGAGCAAGGAAGCGCAAAAGAGGAATCAATTCGGAGCGCTGTCTGAAACGTGTCTCTCTCTCTCTTTCTCTCTCTGTCTTTTTATGCGTGCGTCTCGGGTTAACGCGCGAGCCGATTTCTGCTTTTCTGCGTTAAAAATGTGACAAAAAAAGACAAAACATGTCCAAATTATAAACTTTCACTCTATGATGGTTAAATCAACTTCTTTTAAATTACATATTAAAAATAATACTATTTTTACAGAAAAAAACAACGTTTGAACGGTGGTGTACATGAAAAAACACACTGGTATATATATATATATTTAAATATACTATGTAAAAAGGAATAGATTATTTATTTATGAACTAACAGCAGGCAAAATTGCTGGACATGTTTTGTCCAATCTCTCTAGAATCGATGGTGTCTTCATGTGAAAGAAACATATTGTTTTCAGATGCGTGCTGACTTATTTATGGATATTATAAAAGCCCATATTCCCCTTTGTAGTGTAAGCAGTGCATTTGTGTGGGTTACAGTAAAAGGAGAACTGTTTCATTCATAATGCATGTCCAGAGTTTGAATTGTGTGAGACGGTAAGCCGGTGCATTCCTGTGATATGACCCGAGAGAGATGAGGGCAGCACATCCACGGGCGACTCGCCGCAAGCTCTGTGAATAAGTCAGTTTTCAATGAAACACAAACATAAAGTCACGATGTGTTGGGTTGAAGATGTACAGGAATCAAACTCCAAATGTTATAGGAAAGTTGTATGCCTGAGATTCGTACTTGCTGACTCGCATATTTGTTCTCAGTCAAAACAAAGCTCAGTGCCCTGATTAACGTGGGTCATGAATCATTGGCCCTTTATATGCGAGACCGTACTGTCTGATGAAGTCACCAAGGTGCAGGCTGACCCACTAATACGGATTTATCCATCCGCACCACGTTACTCAACTCAGATGTGAGCCTGCATGGAGGTGATGACGGTGAATAAGACTTACTGCCACGTCACCGTTCACGTCAGGAAAATACCCAGGCCAGAGCAATTATATTAATGCTCCCTGGGGATTATGGGTCAGCTTGTTGTTGTAAACACAGTTGGGAAGATCTACGGACTATAATGAGATGAAGTTCAAGAACAGCACACTCAATGGTCTGGGGAAACCCTTTAAATTGCGACTTTGCTGAAAGTGTTTTTTTATTGTTTATCATTTGTTAATGTTTTAATTTGGGTTTTATTATTTTGCTGTTGTTGCACTACAAATCATCATTATGTTTTATGTTTATTTGAAAATGAGGGCTGACACAATTTTATCCACAACATGAATATAAATCAAAACTGCCTAACGTTGCTGAATGAAATGTCGAGCCAGTACGAGATATATGACTGTGAAGCTTTGGTGGTGTTGATGGACTCAATCTCCATCTATGATTTAATCATCTCTCTGAATCCGATCTGGATGCGTTTTTCTCAGCTGTTTGATAAAAATGTAGCTTTTTTATTAAACTTACTCACATCCAAGTGTTGATTAATAGAAGAATGCATGAAGCTAAAATAAAACACGTTTTTATAATATATAAAGCAGAGGCTCTGTTCTTTCTTTTGAAATATTGCTACTTCAGAAATTCATAGAACAAAATATTCTGAGGGCCATAAAAATTGCTGGTGGAGGCTGGTAACTTTAAAAAAAACAAAAAAAAACAAAAACAAAACAAAAAAACGGGAAAGAGTTATTAATTTCGAACAAGGAAAATATGGATTACCTTGTGTCACTATTACGAGTTACCTAGAAAAAAGATTGGACCATATTTTTGCATAATTTCCATAAACTTTATTTTTGGAATCACTTTCAGAACTTTTTTTCCCCCAGCTGATTAACGTTAAAAACATTGACAGCCAATCAGAATCCATCCTGCTTTAAAGAGCATGATCATTTAAAGTGGCAGATGACAAAACTGTAGTGCGCGCTAAGAATAAACAGAACAATATCGTTCACGGGTGTGGACGAAAATATAGTTATTGTTAGTTATATTTGTTTTTTCTTGGTGTTAAAAAAGAAAAAATTGTCATAAAAAAATGGCTAATGACCAGTTACTAAGATAAAATTGGTCCGCTACATCCCCACATTGCCGAAAATGGGCAACTCTCTGTGAAAATGAGTAACATTCTACTCTTTGTGGTCCAGTTCTCACATTCGACATCAGCACTAACCGTCTTGTTTTGTTTCCCCAGCTTTGATGTGGACAATGGCACGTCATCAGGACGTAGTCCGCTGGATCCCATGGCCAGCCCGGGGTCAGGTCTCATTCTCCAGGCCAACTTTGTGCACAGCCAGAGGAGAGAGTCCTTCCTGTACCGCTCGGACAGCGACTATGACCTCTCACCAAAGTCTATGTCCAGAAACTCCTCCATCGCCAGTGACATGTGAGCAAATGTCTTTTTTTTTTGTATGAATGCACGTTTTATTCTTAAATATGCTGTTGTAATCAGTATTTGTTTTTTTGCAGACACGGGGATGACATGATTGTTACCCCTTTTGCACAGGTATTGCAATATTAAATATGTGAAGTTTAAAAGGAGATGGTTTGACAACATTACAAAATCAATACAATTATATAACACTACTGAGCTAATTTTATGTGTCTTCTCTCAGGTTCTGGCGAGTTTAAGGACTGTCCGGAATAATTTTGCTGCTTTAACAAATGTACAACAGGAAAGAGCCAATAACAAGTATGTTGCTTTCAATTTAAAATATTCAAATGCACACATTTTTATCATGACGCTAAGCCCGTGTGTCCACCCAAGCGGTTTTCTTTTTCCAATTGTTTTCAATGGGAGCGCTGTTTTTTTTCTGAGTGTCTATTTCACACTGAAATGCTCTGCGTTTTTGAAGAGTGTTCAACTTTGTGTAAAGTGCAACGCTCATCGCTGTCACTTTTTACCCTGCCGTCCAATCACAGTGGAGGAGGGGTGGGACAATACCAACAGACGACAGCAACAAGCACAACAGCGGAACAAAATCATTGAAAAAAAGAGCCAGTGCAATTACTTAACATTTGTATTGACATTTTTATATTCAGAAACAAACTCTCTGGAAAATGAGATACTAGTAACTCTTTCACAGATATTTTGTGTATACACACACATCTCAACTGAAAAAAAAAATGCTGCCCCACTGGAAAGTTTGGCGTTTTCAGCTGGCTAAAAATGCTTTGGTGGACACTCTAAAACTTTTTTTTTCTCCCAGTATTGACAGAATTTGTATTTGTTGTAAATGTGCTAATAGCAGACAATCTGTTACTTGCATTATAGACAATGACGCCTTCTTTTTCCCCCTTTTTTCTCAAACAGGAGATCCCCAATGTGTAACCCACCTCCCATCACAAAAACCTCATACACAGGTGTTGTACCTTTGCTTTTTATATTTTGAATATTGTCATGCCATCTTAATAGCAGTGCTATTTCAATATGATTTACAATAGGCTATTTGTTAACATTTTGAATTAGCTTTTATTTTAACATGTTAAGTTTTAGTAATTATGTTATGTGCTTTTGGTATTTTTTTTATTAGTTTTTTTTTTAATATTACTATATTGCTTTAATAAGTATTTTGGTAATAGTAATTTTAGTACTTCAACTTTAAATTATTTATTTTCGGTTCAACACTGCATAACCAATCCTTTATCATTAAAATCACATTGTATTAGACAGATTTGCTTAGTTTTGTGGAGAACTGTTAGACACTGTTTGATATGAGGGATGACGTTGTCCTTGTGTGGCACCTTCCGTTTTGTCTAAACCAGCATGAGAGCAGCCTCCAGACATCCCATATCGCACTGTGCATGTCATGTACTCTGAAGCCGATAAGGGAAAAATATGTCACAATACCCTCTATGCACAAATGCTTTAAAGATAATTTTATACTCACTTTTAACTGTTTGTTCATGCATATGTCAGCTTTATAGGGCATCCTGCGATGTGACAGTCGCTTTGCCATAATCATGAGGCACTGCTCATTATATTGATTAGCTGCTGTTTGTGGTTTATTTATAGGGTTTGCAAGGAAAAGCTTCTTTTGAGATGCAGGTGTTTGACCTAGAACTGTAGTACCGAGCGCTCGCTGGATGTTTAGCCTGAGCAGAATGTTCAGTCGCAGAGATAAAAAGCACCAGTGTTATGGATTTATAATATTGATTTGTACTAGAAGCAGTGAGCAGATGGAGACATTATACATTTTAACTCCCCATGCTGAGTTTAGATGTCATGTGACCCTGATGGGTGTTGAGTGTAGGATGACTGGACGGATGGCCAATGGCCATATACCATAATGTAGATAAGGATGGATGCACCAGTGGCTAAAGATATGACCTGGTCACCACCTAAAGGTTCACCATCCTGGTGAGAATTAAGCAAGACATGTTGCACCAGGGAGAATGTCTCTCTCTAATAAGTGTGTTGTAAATCTCTGTGGATAAAGGACCAACTAAATGACTAATTAGTGGGGCTTGCTAAGGCAAGATTCCTAAAATCATGCGGCTTGTAAAGAAGAGGGGTGATCAGACTTGCGCAGACAATAAAACAAGTAATAAATAGAGTTACTTTGAAGCAGGGACCTGGGCACAATCGGAGATTATATCCTGGCTCTTTCAAGCTTTATAATGGTAGTGAATGGGGCCTGGGCTGCAGTCTTCCGGAAGCTAGTTGCTAATAAAGTTTTAAATATGGATATTTCCCATGGAACGGTATGGATTATTTATGGATTATTATTATGGATTGATGCATTTTTGAGGGGTTTCAAAATCTTGCCCCCCATTAACTACCATTATAAAGCTTATTTAAGATATTCTAAAATATATCTCCGATTGTGTTCGTGGGGGTGAGTAAATCATGTTATAATAACATTTTTGGGTGAACTATCCCTTTAAGCAATTTTCAATTTACACAAGATTCAACTCATTTTTTAAAGTCAGTTTAATGTAATTTTAGTTGAAATGATTTAAACATCCAAGTCAATTGTACTTAGCCAGTAAGCAACCATCTAGCAACTCCACCATAGAACAGGGTTTTAAAACTTTTTTGATGCCAAAGGCCCAAATACAGTATAATCAAATTGCAGAGGACCTGTTTTCTATATACTGTATATTTTAAGACTTCTTTTGTTTGTGTAAGAAAAATAAAATGTCATTATAAAGAGAACATGTTGTTTAAAAAATAAGTAATTGGCATTCATGTTGAAAATACATTATTGCTGTATTATCTGGAAAATATTCATTATTATAAGTATCCATTATTATTCTAAATGTATTTAAATAGCAGCTTTAACAGTACATATTAGTCCAAAACCCGTTTTCTTTGAAATTTCCTACAGAAGCTGTATTATGAAATCTGACAAGCTAAAAACACCCTGAACCCCCTATAAACCGCTTGGCAAAGTACTTAAACCACTAAGAACACTTAAGAACCCTCATAGCAACATGTTAGGAGCACTCTACAAACTGCAGTTTTGCACTGACAGGTATCAATCACTTCCAGAAAATCTCAGTTTATAATTTTACTTGCATTCGGTTGCACAACACAAACACATTCTGCTCACAATGGGGGAATAAACTAAAGACTTGATTGAATAAGATTGGAAGAGACTTTAATTGTAGATGTGTCTTATTAACTTTTATTTTTTGTGGTGTATCCAAATAAATCTTGCACAAGCAAATGCTGATGTTTTGGTGAGGAGTTTCTGGCTGACAAGGCAAGTGAGAGCCTGTGACCCAGATTAAAGGATTCCAGTCCTGCTTTTCACCCCAGCTCTCCTGTCTATGGAGCCCGTGCCATCTCATGGGCTGGTGTATGATGTCGCGCTAAGCACGAGAAGAATGTCATTGACGTCAGTGCAGTCTCTTTCAGAGAAAGTGGCACCCCAGCCCTGTGTACTTCACCACACACGCCGAAAGAGAGAGAGAGAGAAAGACACAGACAGACAATGAATAAGATAATGTGTGCTTTGTTGAAGCAATGTACATGTGGCATTTGTTTTCATTCAAGTAACATGTCTAGCATAGCTGCACTGATGTGTGTTTTGTCAGCCTTTTGTTATTTAGTTTCACTTATTTTTATGCCCTCATATGGTCATCCTTAACCTTTTTGGAAAGGCACAAACGTTTGCAAATTTCCATAAACCATAAAAAAAGCATCTGATATAAGATTTCAGATATACAAATTTTGCAGGGCATAAATGGTCTCATCTCAGCGAACTTGTGATGCTGACCACAATTTCAGTGGGAAATGATTTGCTATTTTTTTTAAACGTAAATCACAAAGCATCCTCTTTAAAAGCCTTAGCACAACCAGCCTTTCTCATCAAGTGTCAGCTGTGAAGGACCCAAGCTCCTCACCTCGAAATCCCGTAAAGTTCATGCCGGGTTTTAGCTGTAGTCCTCTCTCTCCTGCATGCAGCAGCACTGGCAGGCTTCAGGCTTCTGTTTCAAGAGGAAGCTCGGCTCACGTTCGGCTAGCGACGCTCCACGGCTGCCCCGTGTTCATGCAGGGCATCCACCGTTCTGAGAAAAGAGGGCAGGCAGATGCGATCACCTTTGTTCTTCTGTGCGGCAGAACTGGAGACAGGGACTAGTCACTCATCTGTTGGCGTCAACACTCTGTATGCGTGTATGAGCGAGTGTACGTGTGTGTTATTGTTATGACACTATGCCTGTATGCTTTGTTATGGGCCGGATCACATGCTCCTAAGGGCCACCGCACACTACTCCGCTTCTTGGATGCAGACCGGCATCTGTCACGCAGAGATGGGCCTGCCCACAGCAGTGATGTTCTGTCTGTCCCGAGATGAGAGCTTTCACTCCGGGCTTCTCCAACATGTAGGATTATAGATTCTGCAGTCGAGCGCGTGTTGTCGTTTTGTTTGTGAGCAGTGTGAGAGCGTTGTTTTGTGTGTGGCCCCTTTGTGTGTTTTCTTAAGGGATATAGTGTACCCCGCTACTCACGAGATCTGACTCCCACTCCTCGTGCCTCGTCGGATTATAGCTCCGTTGTTTTTGGAAACCTCGTTTTTTGGCTCGATTTGGAGCCCCATCATTCACTGTGGAGGGCTTCAGCACAGCATGAAGAATCACCCATGCGTTCTGTCGGGATATCCCAACATGGCGGTCTACAGCAGTTTGGGCCCTCTGCTGGGAGCCTCAACTAGACACCTAAAGCATCTGAGATCTGACTCCTTGCCTCCTTCTCTTCCTCCAGAGGAGGCCTACCAGAAGCTGGCCACAGAGACCCTGGAGGAGCTGGACTGGTGCCTCGACCAGCTCGAGACCCTACAGACCAGGCATTCAGTCAGCGAGATGGCATCCAACAAGGTAAAAAAAAGCTCTAGGTGTATTTATCTGCGCTTTTGCTTGTTTGGGATTCCATAGGATGGTTCTGCAAGTTGATGAAGTGCAATGATTGTTATCTCAGGTGTTCATATTCCACTCACAATCACAATTAGGGATAGTGTTGTCGATTTATAACTTGTTTTTATTATTATATATTTTTTTGTGATTTTTATTTTATTTATTTGTGATTCGTTTTTTTTTTTACAGTTTTAGGCTTGTTTATGTTATCACAAATGTTTGTTGTGGTTTGTTGAATCCCAGTAGACATGAACACCAGTAAATAAATATGCATCACATCCGACTGTGTTTACTCCATCATACTGTGTTTGTAGCCTTAGATGTCAGTGTCGTGCATTGGTTCAAACATGAGCAACATGATTAATATTCTAAAATGGCAATCAGATCAGAAGTTGATTTCAGATCAGTTGGCGTTTTCTAACCAGTGCACTGTTTGCAATAACAGCAGCAGAATCGTCATTCAGGCTGCACTGAGCATGCCCACAGTCTCCAGTAAGGCCCTAGTACACATACAGCATGCTAATCAGCCTGTAGTGTGTATCTATTCCCGTTCAGTCCATTTGGCCACAGCACCTCTTAAAATAACAAAATACGAGATGCTTCTCATTTCGATTACGCAACCAGTCTAAAGGTCCAGCAGAGGTGACCAGACATAAGTAACAGAAGAGTCAAATACTCACATTTTCATGTCTCACTTGAACGACCCCCCCCCCCTCCCCCATTCCTAGTATCCATGGAAACGCACAAGGCCTGTCAGATTGCTTTGTTGCTTTAGCTCAATAGCAATAGTGGCGTATCCCGTATAAAACTGCTTCACAGTCACCATGCAAGTGTTATATCCTATCCGACTGATATAAATAACACTGTTTTAGATCAGAAATTGCTACTGCTAATTTGTTATGAAAACACCTTTTTTTATCTAGTACCTGTATTGTGTGTGTAGGGTGGTGTGTAGATGTCAAGCTGCAATTGTTTTTGTGATTTATTAGCTGTCAGAATGTTCATATTGGCCCAGATGCTTGAATACATCTTCCATTTCAATTGCCCAAATCATCTATTTCACCATAAGAATTCAATTTAGATATGTTTTATAACTCTAAATTTATAACTTTATAATTATATGTGGGGATTACTCTGTAAAATAGTGATTCAATCTGGGTTGCAAATTGGGTCAGATACATAATTTATGTATGTATATTTTAAGGCTAAATATGGATGATTTTGCGAGAGACTCATGCATTATCATGCTCTAAAAGGCGTATTATTAAACAAAGAATTATTTAGGCCTGTCCCAGCAAACACATTTTCAAGAAATCACAGCTACAAATTGTGTGATATCTTCCCATTTTTAGCTCGGAGACGTGTTTTAACACCCTCTAGATGTTCCAACAATAGAAACACAGTCACCTCTGTCCGTACGGACCCTCGACAGCCTATTACCGTCAGCTCATCTGCTCCAGTAAAGCTGCAAATTACTCGGCATCCCACTAGTGGTACACAGGGACCAGAAGTGTGAAATAATCCCTGTCCATGTTCTGTCAGCTCCACCGCCTCAGCTCTGTATTTGCTGCTGTGCTGTACTGCAACCAGCTCGGTCCAGCTCAGTTTAAAGACAGGTTTTTCTACAATGCCTCAGTGACATTTCTAAAAATGTACCTGGTCTACAGGTACATTTTTGGTCGCTTCCTCTCAGGGCACACTGTGTTTGTGGATAGTTGGCCATTGGAAGTCTGTAATTCTGTTATCATGCATTTGGCCAAATAATTCAGTCCTCCGTCATGCATTTGTTATATTGTAAATTTATTTATAAAATGAATCATATAATTGTGTGTGTATGTATATGGGCACATTTCCCAGGACACTTTTTGCTTTATTCAAGGGCCCATTACCAATTTACCAGGACAAATCTATAACACCGTCATCAGTTTATTTTGTTTGTCTCCATTGACTCCCCTCTGTGGATTTATGTGAATGAACTAAATATTTTATGAGTCTGGTTGACACAATGTTCACTTCCAAACATCACGTCATGAAGGTTACCTCACCGATCCACACATGCAAGCGTATCTGTTCGCACACACATGCACATTGTGGAACATGAGGTGAATAACACCTCATGTTAAAACAAACAACACATAATGACTGTGTGCCCTTTTGGGGAGCAATCTGCTGTATCACAGAGCTCACGTACAAAAAAACACATCCTCCAGCTGAGCTGTAGACATCCAGAGGATGAAGTGGGAGGGGTCCCGGGGAGCGACGACTCCCAGAGGATTTACATGCTCGGCCAATCGGCTGCAGCGATGAGCTCATTCTAATACGGAGATGCCTGATTGGTAGGGCTGCACTCAGAAACACTCTCACCTGAGTGATTGTGTGAAACGCAGCCTTATTTGGAAGCTGTTAACTGGGCATATTTTCCTTCCAAGGCGCAGGCATTTTTCAGTATATTTAGTTTGAAGAGTGCGCAACGTACGAGAAGAGAGAGATGCTATCAGACAAAGCCGTGGGTTCTTCACGCCCTCCTCTGTCATAGATGGAATCTTGCCAGGTTTCTTAACAATGGAAAACGCCGTCGTGAGGAATGCCCTGGAATTTCTGGACTTTTCGGATGGGGTTTAGCTTAATATCGCAATGTTAGTTCAGGTGGATTAAAAAGAAATGGAGCTTTGAGACCATCTGGACTGAGCATTTTGCGTTTATCTTCCCTATCAGCGAGTGTTTTCTAATCTCATCTGCTATCTGGACTTACTCATTCAAAATGCCTGAGGCAAATTATTTGCTGTCAGTTTCTTGGGGGTACATTAAGGTGAGTTAATTAATCATGAAATACTGTATTCTTATATTGGAATGGGGTTGGACAGGCTGCTATTGTTTATTATTGGTGTTCAGTATGTGGTTGCACAAAGAAAAAAGGCTGCATAAAGAACAGATCATGACAGGCAGATATTTAAATGAATTGAATTGTTAACTAATGGCATTTTTGTGTATGTGTTCATTTTCGAGCATGCAGCATTTTTTCTTCTTCAGTTTGTTCCTGCAAATCTGGTTAGAAATGTGGCGTCTATCTGGTGTGACCCAGCAGGTCGTTTTGACCTGACATTCTTAACAGTGTGAGAGGATGCATATGTTTTGGGTTGTTTGGAGGACTCAGCCTTGAAATCGCGGCGTATCTGCCGACTGATAGCGACACAGCTGACAGGGGAAAATTCATTAAATGATCATAAAAATAAAAAAAGAGGTAAAATGGTGACTTGTTCAGCAATGAATTTCAGAGGGGGTGTTTCAAACAATAGCACAAATTACACAACACCTCAGTCCACACAAGATATTTTTACTTTGAATGAAATCATTTTTCCCCTTTTTTTCCTTTGCATAAAATAGGTCTAAATGGCACAAAAAATCATTTTAATTGTTTATCTCTCAACAGTTCAAGAGGATGTTGAACAGAGAATTGACTCACCTCTCAGAGATGAGCCGATCTGGTAACCAGGTATCTGAGTTCATCTCCAGTACATTCTTAGGTGAGTGTCTCACAAAAAAAAAAAATATATATATATATATGAATGTATGTAATATGGGAACATACACTGCACTTTTAAATGCACAATGGAGTTGAGAGGAATAGCGTTTTGACTGGAGGAGGGCAACTATGTGGATTTTGGGGGGTAAATCAGAACTAGGACAAATGAAGTGCTGATTATGGCCAAAAAATCAAGCCAACGGCAGCTCTGTAGCCTGACGGCTGTGTAGCTGAATAATCAGGCCATGAGTTAGACCATTAAATGACCATAGCCCACCATTCATTCACACAACTACAAATCAGTGGCTGTAATGACACATGCTGTGCTTTTACCCATGGGCACCTCTGATTTCTAGAACCTTCTCTGAGCTCCTTCTGTGTTTCTGTAGACAAGCAACATGAGGTGGAAATGCCATCACCCCAGTCCCAAAAAGACAAGGAGAAGAAGAAAAGGCCGATGTCCCAGATAAGCGGCGTAAAAAAACTAACGCACAGTTCCAGCCTTACCAACTCTAACATCCCACGGTTTGGGGTTAAAACTGAAACAGAAGATGAGCTGGCCAAGGTAAGTCCATATGCACTGCCATTCTAATACTTGGGGACAGTAGGATTTAAGTCAGTAATTAAGATTAAAATGAATGCTTATATTCAGCAAGAAAACATTAAACTGGTCAAAAGTGCCAGTAAAGACAATTATAATGTGACCAAAATGTATATATGTTTATATTATAGTTTTGTATTTCAAATAAATGCTGTTATTTTGTATTATCAAAGAATCCTGGAAAAATGTCTCATGGTTTACGTGGAATTATTAAGCAACACAACTGTTGTCAATATTGATAAGAAGAAATAAGGTAATAATAAGAAAATAATGTTTCTTGAGCACCAAATCAGCACATTAGAATGATTTCTGAAGGATCATGTGACAATGAAGACTGGAGTAATGATGAAAATTCAACTTTACCATCACAGGAGTAAATGGCATTTTAAAACACATTCAAATAGAAAACAGTTTTTTTTTTCTTGTATTTTGATCAAATAAATCCAACATTGGTGAGCATTGGTGACATCTTTCAAAAGCATTAGAAAAATCATACTGACCCCAAATTTTTGAATGGTAGTGTGTATAATTAAAACACTATAAATAATAGATTTATAGAAAACTGCAATATAGGACCTCTAAATACATGTGTTTCACTTTATGTCATTTCAGGAGCTTGAAGATGTAAATAAATGGGGCCTTAATGTCTTCAAAGTGGGAGAATTTTCTGGGAACAGACCTTTAACGGTTATGATGCACTCAATATTCCAGGTACTTTTCTTTACAGTATTGTCTCACTTAAGCTCAATTTTGCTTCAATGTCTTTTTATAAGACGCTCCTGCTAACATAGACAAACCATGTGGGTTGTCTTTCCACTGTAGGAGAGGGACTTGTTAAAGACGTTTAAAATTCCCCTCGACACGTTTATCACCTATCTGATGACTTTAGAGGACCATTACCATGCTGACGTTGCCTATCATAACAACATCCACGCTGCTGATGTCACACAGTCCACTCACGTCCTGCTATCAACCCCTGCCCTTGAGGTACGATACGGCTGTCCCAGTATGCAGTGCTGCGAGAATGCCATTTCTTCTTATTGTTGAGTATTAAAGAAAGTGGATAATGATTTGAAAATCTGTCTGTTATTTTCAGGCTGTGTTTACAGACCTTGAAATTCTTGCTGCCATTTTTGCCAGTGCGATACATGATGTAGACCATCCTGGCGTCTCCAACCAGTTCCTCATTAACACTAGTAAGTCTCTTCCTCTCTACCAACATGAAATTATTATACATGAAAAGTTGCCATACATGGTCTAAGTGGACTGGGCAAAGTCTACTCTACAAATCAAAATATGTGGGATAATTCTGATTTTTTTAAATAAATTTCTCAGTAAAAACTGTTGACCAAATTTTCACAAAAAGTGAAATATTATTACAGTTTACTATGTTAATGTAATTTGAAATGTAGTTTATTCTGCCACATTTTCAGCAGCCATTACTTCAGGCTTTATTGTCACATGAAACATTTCTTATTATTGTCAATGTTGAAAAACCAGTTGTGCTGCCTAATATTTTTGTGGATTAATATTCAGTGATACACTACCATTCAACATTTTTGAGCAAGTAAGATACAAAATGAATAAAGAATAACTACTTTTCATTTAGGATGCATAAAATTCATCAAAAGCATCAGTAAAAATGTTAATAATGGAACACAAGATTTATATTTCAAAGATTTCCACAAAGATATTAAGCAGCTAAAAGTTTAATAACAAGAACTTTGTAATAATTTAGTACCGATAATAATTGAGCACCAAATCATCATATTAGAATGATTTCTCAAGGATCATGTGACACTGAATACTGGAGTAATGGCTGCTGAAAATTCAGCTTTGGATCACAAAACATATTTCACAATATTACTGTTTTTACTGTATTTCCAAACAAATAAATGCACCCTTGATGAGCATAAAAAACACAATTATTCAAAATGTTTGACCTGCAATGTACATATACATCAAAAAAGCAAATCCTTTTTCCTGTTGTGTCTGTAAAGCAACATCACGTTGCTTTCAAAAGGCTCTTCCTAGAATTTATGTTTGTGCGATGTTTTTCACAGCTTTTAGAACCACTTTTAGCTTAATCACGTTGTTCAAAGTAGCGGACTCACTCAAAGACGAATCAATACGTGTTTAAGCTGTTGTCACGTGCTGCAAACGGTCAACTGGGCAATTTTCGCATGCTAGTGATGCATGTGTTAGGTGGGCTACATGTGTCTGTGATTCACAAAGCTCACGTGTCCCACCCACACAGCCGGTAAAATCCCCTCAATGACTAATAGAGGGGCCAGCAGGCCTTGTCACAACTTGAACCTGAGAGGAGGGGGATGCAGGTTCTTCCATACCTTCATGCTGCTGTTTTTAATCCGTGGAATACTAAATGAGACATTTTGTTCCACCCCTTGAAAGTTTGTGGAAATGTGTAAAATTCACATAGAAATACAAATAAAAGAGCTAATGAAATATAGTTAGTACAGTAAATGAATCATTTTGAATCTCAATCTCTTCTCTTAGACTCTGAGCTGGCCCTCATGTACAATGATTCGTCTGTGTTGGAGAATCATCACCTGGCTGTAGGTTTTAAACTGCTGCAGGAAGAGAACTGTGACATCTTCCAGAACCTGACCAAGAAACAGAGACAGTCACTTCGCAAGATGGTCATTGACATTGTGAGTCATGATGTATCAATGATGTATCATTGTTCCATAATCAGCTGTCCTTTATCACACTCGACTGTTTTTGCAGCTTAATTTCACTGATAATTGTAGATGTGATTAAAAAAATTGTAAATTCATTTAAAGGGCCAATAAATCACCAACCAAATTTTCTCTCCAACCAAAATGGATTCATCCATTCAAACCATTCACCTTTTTTTTGTTTTGTTTTTTGCAGGTTCTGGCCACAGACATGTCTAAGCACATGAATTTGTTGGCGGATCTGAAAACCATGGTGGAGACCAAAAAGGTGACCAGTTCAGGGGTATTACTGCTGGACAACTACTCTGACAGGATACAGGTTCGTCCTTAATGCTCATATTGCATTGTAGATATCACAATAAAGGTTATGATTTGCTTTTTTATTTAATTCAATTTCATTGATTATGTAATTATATAGGAAAATATATAAAATAAATATGTTTATTAAAAAAGTATAGTGAACTCATGTTCATGTTCAAGAAACCAGTTTGAGATGATTTGAGCTTTGTGACATGTACACTGTGGTCATAAAGGAATGGACATTCTCCGCTATGCTCAAATTGGTACTAAGGGGCTCAAATGTGACAAGAATGTGACCCTCCACACCATTACAACACCAGCAGCCTGAACGCTTTCATGTTGTTCATGGCAAATTCTGACCCCGGCCATATGAATGTTGCAGCAGAAGTTGAGACTCATCAGACCAGGCAACGTTTTTTTCCAATCTTCTGTTGTCAAATTTGGTGACGCCGTGCAAATTGTAGCCTTAGTTTCCTGTTCTTAGTTGAAAGGAGTGGCATCTGGTGTGTCTTCTGCTGCTGTTTCACTCAAAGAACTGCTGCTCACTGGAAATTGTCACTTTTTTCAGACCATTCTCTGTAAATCCTAAAGATAGTTTTGTATGAAAATCCCAGAAGATCAGCAGTTTCTGAAAAACTCATATTAGCCAGTCTGGCACCAACAACAAAGTCACTTAAATCACCTTTCTTCCCCATTCTGATGCTCAGTTTGAACTTCAGCATCATCTTGACCACGTCTATATGTCTAAATGCATTGTGTTGCTGCCATTTGATTGGCTGATTATATATTTGGGTTAACGAGCAGTTGAACAGGTATGCCTATTAAATTGGCCTATGAGTGTGTGTGTGTATATACTATATATACTGTAGAAATAGAAAATAAAGTAAAGTAAAATATAGTAATAGAGTTATAATAAGAATTGCTACAGCTAAGTTCTACATCTTTTTTATGTGGCTCCATGGGTTGGTTGAGAGTCTGGGTCTATAAAGGTTAACAACCTCTACTCTGAAGTATTCAACACCGAATTTGAATATGATAATATACTTATGAATGTGCAAATAAATGTGAATATGAATATGCATGCATAACTGGCTTATTTTTTTCTGTTTCTCAGGTCTTGCAGAACATGGTGCACTGTGCAGACCTCAGTAACCCCACCAAGCCTCTGCAGTTGTACAAGCAGTGGACGGACCGCATCATGGAAGAGTTCTTCAGCCAGGGGGACAGAGAGCGTGAGCGCGGCATGGAGATCAGCCCCATGTGTGACAAGCACAACGCTTCAGTCGAGAAGTCACAGGTAAGGCAGCTCAGGGTGGATAAAGGAGGAATCAAATAAAGAAAGATTCAATATACATCAAGCTATATATATATTGTGATTTAATAATTCATGCATAAAATGGTTAACATGTTTGATGATGTACACTAGCAATCAAATTTTAATGTTTTTCTTCTTTTTTTAAAGAAGTTCCTTCTGTTCACCAAGACAGCATTTTTTAGCAACAATACTGTGAAATATTATTACAATATAAAATAACTATTTTCTGTTTGAATACCTTAAAATGTAGTTTATTCTTGTGATGCAAAGCTTTTTGTGGAAACTGATCATTTTTTACAGGACTCTTTGATTAACAAACAGTTCGTGATAACAGCATTTATTTGAAATAGAAATGAAGAGTTCAGATGCAAAAGCCTCTAAATGCCATTTGAAATTTTCTTCTTTAATGATGATTTTTATCAAACTTGTATATTTAAGTTCAGTAATTTCACTTAAATAACAATTAATAGGTAATTATCATTGCCATTTAAGTGAAATCACTGAACTTAAACATACAAGCTTGATCAAAATTATTATTCTAGAAGAAAATTTCAAATGGCACTTAGAGGCTTTTGCATCTAAACTCTTCAAATATTTTTTAACATTATAAATGTCTTTACTGAAACTTTGATCAATTTAATGCCCTTGCTGAATAAAATAAATAATATATATATTTATCCAACTGACTTCAAACTTTTGACTGGAAGTGTATATGCCAGCTATTTCATAAATCCTTTCAAAATAAAAAAAAATAAAAACATATATTGTGTGTTCTGATAAATATGCATCTTTCAAGAACTTTCAAAATCTTTTTTTCTAGGTGGGCTTCATCGATTACATCGTGCACCCACTGTGGGAGACGTGGGCCGACCTCGTGCATCCAGACGCCCAGGACATCCTGGACACGCTGGAGGACAACAGGGAGTGGTACCAGAGCACCATCCCCCAGAGCCCCTCTCCAGCACTGGACACCTGCAGCGAGGGCAGGCGCGCCGCCGGACAGGAGAAGTTCCAGTTTGAACTGACTCTGGAGGAGGACGGGGAATCCGACACCGAGAAGGACAGCGCCAGCCCTCCTGATGAAGAGGAGGAGGAGGAGGAGGAGGAAGAGGAGGAAAACAGCTGCAGTGACTCTAAAACCCTTTGCACACAGGACTCCGAATGTACAGAGATCCCCCTGGACGAGCAGGTGGGGGACGGACAGGAGGACGAGGAGGACGAACACGAGGAGCAACGGGAATTATCAGAACCCTGTGTTTTAGAGGAGGAGGAGGAGGAGGAGGAGGAGGAAGAAGAGGACACTGCCAACACATAACACAGTATGAAACAGCACCTGAACTTTTTTTATATTAGAGATGAGAAACACTTATTTATTGTTAAGATATTAGTTTTTTCATTGTCTATTTTGCATATCAGAAGTGCTTTTTAATGTCCACCTTTAACATGTTTTTCTTTTTCATTCCTCACTCTTTTTTTTTTTTTTTTCAACCATTTTACACTCAGGAATATCTTTTCCACTCCCACCTGTCATTCATACAAACAAAGCTTGTCTCTTATTCCCGGTTTCGAGGTACTTTTTTTAACTGAAGCAGTATTCTAGAAACATTGAACTTAGAAAGCAGCTGTTTTTCACCAACAAGACGCTATTTTTTCCTGCAATTCAAAGCATTTTAGCAGACAAATGCTTCGAAATTCATGTCTTCCTGATGCCTTGAATGTGTTATTAATCTGGATTCAGTTGGCTGCTGTTTTTGTGTATCAAGCATTATTTGAAGTGAACGGACATGGTACCAAAGTGAAAAAAAAACATGAAATAACACCACTTTTGCATCATTTAAATCACCATATTTGGGGTAAATATGCAAATGTGGTAATAATGTTGCACATACTCTTCTTTTTTTTTTTTCTGACCTTTATTTGTTGCCCCCAATCCAGATGTGAAAATAATTGATTTAAATGAATACATGAGCTCAAACATATCTCCTCAGTTTGATTTCAACTTCAAAATTCCCCCAAGAACAAAATCTCGTGATTTTGTTATAAAACAATAGCTTGATTAAGCCAACCAAAAATGTACAAAAACATGCTGATAATGGAGTAAAATGAATCCCGGGTATCACTTCATGCATTAACAATTGTATGTTTTATTGTAATTCAATAATAGTGATTATTATGCTATTATTAATAATGATGATTGATTATTGTTATTGGCCTGCTCAAAAATATCTGTTTGGTGCCATATGTCTCTGGCCAGTTAAACAGAAAACAACTGACATTAATGATGATTGTCACATGATCACAGGACAATCAGCTTTAGTGCAAAGCCTCATTGTGCGTGTGAATCTAGTTGCACTGTACCTTTTCATGTCTTTTTGTTGATTGTATTTATTTTGGTCATTTTTGACATCGCCAAACATTTCCAGCGGTAATGGTTTTAATTGCTGCTTTACTCATCTCTGTCAAGTGTCCTACTGTATCCTCTTCTTTTTGTTATTTTCATACTAGTATTATTTATGAATGCTCTTTGATGTGCTTCTAGCATATTAAATCATTTTAATCAAACTGTAGCATCAGCAGGCTTATCAGTCAGTTCTCCAAATCAATTGTTTTAATTATACATATGCAGTAAATATATCTAATCAAATGTTACGTATGATATTGAAGCCTTTTGAAACTAGCCCTTCTCATTGCTTTATTTAAAAGTCATTCTGTTGCCAAGTTGTTTTAAAAAATGAGTAGTCTCCATTCGCTACATCGTTTCTCATTTCTCTCTGTTTACATACGTGTATTTATTGTGCTGTACAGTACATATTGTCGCTCTTATTATGTTGTAAATGATTATATCATCCCTTTTGGTGATGGTGTTGTATTATGGAACTCTTACTGAGAGAATGTTTGTTATTCTTAGTATGTAATGATCCCATTGATATGTGTCTCTAGAGAGATTGCGTAGAGAAAGGGGAAAGCCAAATTCTAGTCTTTACTGTGTTTATTTTACATTCTTTCTTTTTAAAAGAAAGTGGTTCTGTGGCCTGAGGGTTGTGCCTTACAGATAGCTCTTTAGTTTTTATCCTCTTGCTGCACTAAAGAAACTACTGGCTGGAAACTGACCTAGATGTGTTTGTTGTGTTCCTCCTGTTTATGTGGCACAAATGCTCCAAGGAAAGAAAAATAGACGACATGTTGTCGGACCTCACTGGACAGGGTAAAAGCGGGCCAGTGTGGTGGGTTTGGATTTGCGACCGACTGTAAGTCCGTCATATTTATAGTCTATGCCGTGTTCGTCTGAGTGAAAAACATTGAAAACCATTTGCGTTTCTTGCAATATGAGAGAGAACATCTTACTGTTGGGGGATGACAGGGCATTTTAAATTTTCGGATCCATCCTTCACAAACAACCCAAAACGCTCAATTTGGGACTCATTTTGACACATATACTGTAGATTCTTAATGACCCTGAATGGATGGGAATCAGTGTGTCCTTCTCGTCTCTTTTTAAATCATGACAGAAATACACAAACAGAATTTGACAAATGATATTTAGGGATAATCTTTTTTTTTTTTTTTTGTTAAGTGAATTGAATGAGAAAACTGTCTGGAGGTTTCAAAAGACTGTGTAGTTGTTTATTGGATTCCTTGTTTATTGCAGTCTATTGGATAGAACTGTAGAAATAAAATTTACGTACGAAAACTGGTAAAATCCAATAAAAATGTTTTTATATGCACCAAAATAAAAGCATGGGTTGACTCTATGATGATGTCTCTTGTTTCCTCTGAGTTCAGAATCTATTGCTGTGTCTAGCTTTATTTTATTTTTTTTTCTTTAATTTTTTTTTTTTGTGGACTGGTTTCCTGGTGGTTTTTTTTTTTTTTTTTTTGGTTTGATTTTTGTATCATTGAAATGCTATTATGATTTTTATTATTTTATATATATATATATAATAATAATAAGTCTGATCCAGGGTTATTATAGTTAAAAGTAAAATAATAATAAAAAATACTTAAAATTAAACTATATTGACATTTAAAATAATAAAAATGACAAAACTCAAAATTATAAAAACTATATATATATATATATAAATAGTTTTGTTTTTTTTGGTTAAAGTTTTTATAATTTTGAGTTTTGCCATTTATATTATTTTAAATGTCAATATAGTTTAATTTTAAGTATTTTTTTTATTATTATTTTACTTTTAACTATAATAACCCTGGATCAGACTTATTATTATTTTTTTTTTTTTTTGTTATAAATACCGATTCAATTGCAGCTGTCTAGACAGAACCATGTGAAAGACTGGATCTAGACATCAGAATCATTTCAAGGCCACATTTATTTATTTTCTCATACTTTTAAGCTTTCGCGATCATTATCCGTACACACAGTTGCACACAAACATATCCAACCAACTCATCAGCAAAATGCGAGTACAACATCCTCTCACGCTACACAAAAGTTAGACAAGTATATAGAATTCATACATTTGCAGAAGTTTATAATTCCCCTGAGAGACGTGGGAATGATGTGGAGAATCTAAAGTTTGACTCTATATAATGTAACTGTGGATTACGAATACAGGAGATATTGTGGTATCGAGGATACAGGTACACTAGCAACCCCTGAAATAAGACCTGTATACTGGTATAAAGGCATTAAGGACACGGTTTGACACTTCTGTTTGGCACAATCTTGCTAGTTTGCTATGTCATTAACACCAAAAAACTAGGAGTTGAAGCCAGGTCAAAGATTTGGGGTTCAGTAACTGATTCTCTGTTTCAGAATACAGAAGCTTGGCGACAGCGCTCGAGCCACAAGCGAACGGCCTGGACGGGGAACACTAGCAGCTACAGTCAGATTGTTGCGGTGGCGCCGTGTTGTCAGTTAGTCTGGTTGTGGGCGTTCCCGTGGAAACCGCTGGGTCGGCCTCAAGAGTGTCTGACATCTTGTCGCAAATGATGTCCACCAAACGCTCAAATGTCTGCGTGATGTTGACGTTGTCCTTTGCACTTGTCTCGAAAAACTCAAATCCTTTTGGGAAAGAGAGAGGTAAGCAAATGAAATATACAAGTAGAAATGTTTTGGGCTTGATAAGAGTTCATAAAATGATAAGAATGCTTATAAATAGTTGGATGCATTTATTAAGCATTATTATTATTATCACAAATTAAAGTACTGTATTCTATTTGAATATATGTTAAAATAAAAGTAATTTATTTTTTAAAAAGTCTTTTTTTTTGTTCCATTGATGCATAGCTTTTCAATGAGTTTTCAGCATCATAAGTGTCACATGATCCTTCAGAAATCATTAAATATGCTGATTTGGTGCTCAAGAAACATTTATTATTAATGCCAATGTTAAAAAAAACACTAATATTTTATACTATTTTTGTGAAAACTGTGATGTTTTATTTTTGAGGATTCTTTAAAGAATACAAAGTGCAAAAGATTTCTACTCTAAGATTATAAATGTCTTTACTGTCACTCTTTTGATCACTTAAATATGACATTGCTTAATAAAAGTATTGACTTCTTTAAAAAAAAAAAAATCTAGAGTATAATCTAATATTCATATTTAATATATATATATAATGACCCTACAAGTTCAATTAAACAATCAAAATACGTGGAAAATATGTGATATATTTTAAATATTTGAAATATGAGGGTAAAAAAAGAATGTTACAATGCAAAAAAAAAAAAAAAAACTTAATCAGTAATTAATATTTTGTCGGTTCTCTCATTTTTGCTTGTGATCATAATTTCTTTATATGACAGCCTGGCCAAAATTACGTCCACAGAGTTTGGCATGTTTCAGTGCATTATCACATATAAAACAATTGTCTCCAAGAACGACAACACAATACACTTAAAAATCTTTAAGATCAAGGTGAAAATATGACTATTCCAAGCCCAGACATGACTTTCAGCCACTACTGTAAACTCACCCAGCTGTTCCGCCAGCAGTCTCCCACTGTCCACAGACACGATCCTTTCCTCATCCATGTCGCTTTTGTTTCCTGCGAGGATCACCTGGGCATTGTCCCAAGAGTATGTTTTAATCTGGGTCGCCCTGACACGAGATGAGACAAAAGTGAGCAGACATGCTTGTCGTCAGTGCAAATGCCCTGGAACATCCTCCAGGACAAGATGTGCCAGACTCAGTCAAACCAAAACTCTGTCCGTTTTATTGTATGAGAATGTCATCATGCCACAGAAAATCAATGGGAACTTCATGTCAAACAGACTTGTTTATATTCTTTCCATCTCTCTTCCTTTAGCAGCATGTTTTTTGTTTTCTCTAATCACTCAAAGTATTTTATTTTCATTTTCATTTCATCAATCATTTTTCTTTTACAAAAAGAAACCATGTCCCTTTAGGGGCTCCATAGGTTCAGATGACTTAGGGTTAACTAAATTAGTTATCATGAACCAAGGATTAAAAATAGTTCTACTGCATTTATTAATATTAGTTAATGCAAACTTAAGAAACCACCTAGCTTTATTGGTTAACATTACATTAAACTGTCAGGTGGTTAGTTTTGACATTGGCTGTCATGAAGCCATTACAACATTTTAATGACAAATTCAATTAGTAACATTGTAGTTGAGGTCACGAAAAATGTTCATGACAGTTATAATGGCCTCATGACAGCCAATGTCAAAACCAACCACGTGACAGTTTAACTTAATTTTATGTCAAGTTTTCATGACAAAGACACTGACAGGTTATGATGTTATGGTTTATGTCAAGATGTCATAACAAAGACATCGTAAACAATGTCATATTTGCATTCAAAATGTCATTATTGAGCGAAAGACACTTAATGACAGTTGTCATAAACATGCATACACCTTACTTCACATTCAAGACATATGTCATGTAATGGGTATGAAGGTGTCATGTCAGTCTTATGAACACCCCTTCAAGTAAAGTGTTACCAAATATATATTGCTCATTGATGGTTTACCAATTTGAAATATCGTGCACAATTTATTTTATTTTATTTATTTATTTTGGGGGGGAATACAACTTTTTGGGGTTTCACAGGAAAAAGTCATTGAAATTTATGAAAATTATGCCAAAATTTGCATTTAAATTCAAATAATTGAGTATTGAAACAAAAAATGCTTTTTACTTTGTAACAACTCTAGACATTAAAAATCAATTAAAAATGTTAACACAAGCCCATGCTTAAGTAATATTTGTGCGTTTTCTCTGTACTTTTTGTTTTGGGAAGATAAGAAGAGGTCTAAGTAATTTCCCTCACAAGATTAATGACTTTAATTTATAGATTTTGACTCAAGGATGGACATTAAACTGCAGGATCACCTCAGTAGTGATCCTGAAAGCTCATCAACAATCCTGTTGAAAGCAGGAACTACATCAACTTACCAGTCCTGAACAGCAGCAAAAGACTCCTCGTTGGTAATGTCATACATTAGGATGAAGCCCATGGCGCCTCTGTAGTAGGCTGTGGTGATAGTCCTGTACCTTTCCTGCCCAGCTGTGTCCTAAAAATAACAAGAGCAGCATTATAATAGGCCGGTTTCACAGACAAGACTTAGGCCTAATATATCAGCTCCATTGTTTTGTCTCAAACGCACACCAGTAATGCTTTTTTCTAAGGCACGTTTAAGAAAGCTATGTCCGAATTGAACTAAATCCTAATTGCTTAATTTAAGCCCTGTCTGTGAAAGTAAATTAGTCTAAAAAGAGGAGCATCTCTACATATTTTGACCGAGAATCATGTTAAATTCACAAGAACTGATTGAGTCTGGGACAGAGTGTGAATGAATGAGACGGTGCTTTGTCACCTCTAAAAGTGGCAGCACTTTCACTCGAAGACTAAAATAGAAAAGTGTGCCACGATCTGATGAACAGAACAGTTCGCTGATGCTGACTTAAAGGCCTAGATAAGGTGACAATGGCTTATGTTCTCTTTCCATAAGCCAGTGTTAATCATCACCCCATGTGGTGTTTACATTGCTCCATGTGTGATTATCCGGCTCTTCAGTGCTTTACCAACCATGAAACATTGACGCCGAGTTAAAAAAAGACTTAAAGTCTGTGTCATTTTCGAATCACGGCCATTGTGACGTGAATGAGGCTGGAAATTACCCAGATCTGAAGCTTGATCCTTTTGTCGCTCTTATAAATGGTTTTGACCTTAAAGTCGATGCCCACTGTACTGACAAAGGCAGATGTGAAAGTATCGTCGGCGTAGCGGAAGAGGAAAGATGTTTTTCCGACGCTGCTGTTCCCGATGATCAACAGCTTGAACATGTAATCAAAGTTTTGATCAGAGCTCTCCTTTTGTTTGTTGTCTTGCGTAGCAGCCATCTGTGAGAAGAACACAAAGCCACAGTGTGATTAATAGATCAAAGATTTACAGCCTAAAAATATAATTGGGTTATATGATAGTATGAATAAATGATAGGTTACGCTTTATTTTAAGGTGTAATTATACATTAATGTACTTACTGGGTTAGGGTTAGTTGCATGTAATTATGCATAATTTATAGTTACTACTACAGTAACTACATGTAACATCTCTAACATCCACGTTTAACAAGGATAATGTCAAATAAAGTGTTAACAAATTATAAATGAGTATTTCATTAAAGTCCTCATTAAAGTGTGGTTCTGTGAAATTCAGCACCAGGAGCTGTCCACCACTGCGTCATAAATCTAGTGAATGAATGTCCTACGGTAATTTTGCATTTAACCCATTTAATCTCAACCTAACCTAAATGTATTTTAGTTCAAATTTTAATATATTTCGCACAATAGTTGTCAACTATAATGAATGAGCATCCTGTCTTGATTTCCTTTTTACATGTTTGCTTGGCTGGGGCAAACAGAGACATGACCAGATGTGACGATGATCAAAGACGATGTCTGTTTTTAATTAAAAACTGATTGATTCACAAAATAAAAGTCATTTTGAAGTACTGTAATATTAAAGAAAATAAAAGTCAAAATTTGCAGAAATACGCCTTCATTTGAAATATTTCATTATTGTTTACACCTTTAACAACTTAAATAAGCAACATTTGACACTCCTGTTCAAATTGTGACCAGGAATAAAGCACAACTTTACGTTATTAGATACGTTATGTGCTCACTTAGCTGGGAAACAAATGTGATTAAATTGTGTAATATGAGCGTGCAAACTCGGAAGGCGCCGATGATAGTCTCTACACGATGTTGTCGAAGTAGGCAGCGCACTAGGTTTTGAGACACAGCCTACAGTGTTTTTAAAGGGGTCCGTCTCTTTTCAGCCAAGCCCTGGATATTAAAGGCTAATAGTCTTCAAACACCTAATGCTCATAATGACTTGCTTGATGTGGACCATAGACAAAGAGAATTTTGAGCTGTAAATGAGAGACTCATATTGGCAATAATCTTTCACATAAACAACCAAGACTCTTTGAATTAGCAGCTCCTGTGAATAAATGAGCTTTTACGGCTGATTGCTTTTCTCTTCACTGATGTTGCGTTTCATAAATGTAATAGCCTAAACATTTCATGACCGGTCAGTAGCCTATTATGCTCGCTGTCAAAGGGCAAATCTCTTTAAACTACATCTTTTTTTTTTATTTTTATTTTCAGTATGACTAAATTAGCCATTTTTTTCTCTTTTTGCGTAGCTCTCCATTACGACCAAAGTGGCCACCAAACATTATTTATATAACACCGTTGAACACTTACCTTCCCGTACAACTCCATTGTTAAAGATAATGAAACCAATACAATAAACGGAGCTTGATTCTGATTTAGTCCTAATAAATTATAGTTTTTTCCCCGTTTTGGAGAGGTGGAGTCGGCTGTTGGGATAAATGTTGGATGCAGTGATGCTCGCAATGGACGTCAGCAGACACTCTCCACCCATTCATCCAATTGAAGTGTGAGTGCGAGCTGCTGACAGCAGGGGGCGGTGTTTCTCTCTCTCTCTCTCTCTCTCTCTCTCTCTCTCTCTCTCTCTCTCTCTCTCTCTCTCTCTCTCTCTCTCTCTCTCACACACACACACACACACACACACACACAGATCACAGATTTTTTTTTATGTCATTACATTATTTAGAGCATAAGAAACTAATTGAAAATATTTCATTAATTATTTCATATGTAGTGGACACCAAGACTGCAGACATGAAATGACTGTCAGGATTCTGCCCTGGCAGCTTTGTCTGTGTTGTCTTTGTTTCACGTCTCTATGCTTGTGTTGTGCTTGACGACCCTCTTGTCTAGTTGAGTCCTCCTTTGTCTGAGTGTTGTCACCTGTGTTCCTCATGCTCACTTCTTGTGTTTTCATTTTCCTTAGTAGCCTATGTTCACCTGTTCCTCTTGTTTTCAGCTCCCTTTATATGTGTTCCCTTACCGTCATGTTTAGTGTGTTGTGCTACCTGTTACTTATTGCTCATGGTGTCAGTCAGTTGTGAATAGTGCCTGGATAGTCTTGTGTTTGTTCTGTTCCCTGTTTGTTCCAGCCCTGCAAGCTTCCTCAAGCAGTGAGACTGGTGCAGTGACTGATTGTGCTGTGAGTCCATCTACATGTGCTGTATCCTGTCTGCATCCATTGGCCTCGTGCTGCTCATCTACCTCAGAAGTGGTAGTATTCACCTTGGGCTGGTCTCAACTGCCACCCTCTCAGCTTGCCTGTCATTGTGCTTTGTTCCCTGCCTACTGTTAGGACTGTTATCACCTCCTTGCACACCATTTCTTGTCTTGTCAATAAAACCTGTTGACACTCATTCTGCGCTTGAGTCTTGGGTGTAATAATTGGCAGCATTTTAATATCTTAGGAATATTGATATAAAATTGATTTCCCTATTTACTTGCTGTGTCTCCCAAAATGCCTGATAAACATGAGTTAAGTCCTGGTGTCCACTACAGTGGAAATGTATGAAATCAATGCCCTAGCTGTTTTGTTCCAGAAATTCATATTTTGATTAGAAAACTCATTTTTCTAATCAACCCAACATTTTCCTGAGATATTGATGTATGATTAACCATTTTAATTATTTAAATGGTAATTACAAAATCTTAGAATTTTCCATAGGAGTGCTAATTCATTTTTAAAGAACAAGGAAAAGTCACGGTGAGACCTCCAAACATTTGGTAGGCTATCTTTAAAAATCCCCGAATGTGTTGTTTACAGGACATGTACATTCCATGTCACAGAAATTCACTGAAATAAAATGTCTCATCATACAGAGGACAAAAGTGTATTCCTGGATTCCACGACGATGTAATAAATGATCTAATAAATATTACAAATAACACTCAAAAGGGAAAAAAATCAACAGACAATCATGGTAATTTCTGATTAAATTTAATGTTGATTTATTTAACTACTATTAAAAATGGACTCAATTAAAATTTGAAGCTTGTACTTAATATTCATAGGATTAGCCCTCGTCATTGGACGGCAGCATGATCTAGTTAATATTAACGAGCTTGGCCTTCTCCATAGTAGAACCCTATGAGTAGAACTAGTGCCCATCCCACTCTCGACTCGCATGCGCCTGTGTTGTTTACATGAATGTCACGTAGTCCTCGTACTAAAACACGCAATACATTGACATGTTGAGGTAAACCGACTTTTAATTGTCTAATATTTTATATTTTTATATGTTTTTGGTAAACTGGTTGTGTTGGGGTTGGTTGTTTGTCCAAGAAATTTGAAGAAAACGCCTTTTGCGCTTTTGTGAACAGCTTTTAAAGTAAACAGAAACATACACGGTCAGGTTGTAAAACACGCCTTTATATTACGGTTACATCGTCTGCTATATAATACATTATTGTGGTAAATAAACTATTTAGGCGTTATTTCTATTAAAAACAACGGGTTTCTATCGTTCTCTAGTGGCTGAAGACCTCCACCAGTACTTTTGACTAGGTTACAATGTGGAGAAGAAAACGTGTCATAAAAATGTGACTTTCGACTTGCTTGTCAGCATTGATCACATTAATTTTTATATTGAGTCGTACATATTATATTTGTTTTCTTTTTCCACTAGTGTTCCATCATGGAGGATTCAGTAGAGGTTATGCTTCTGCATAAAAGTTGCAAGCTCTCCCAACATACCCAAGAAAAGTCACTCTTCACAGCAGCATCTGGAGCTTTGCTCATGGGGGTTTATGGGCTCTGGACATTATTTGCACTTCCTGGATTTCGGAAAGTTCCCACAAGTCTTAAGGTACTGCAAGTAATATACCATATATTGGCAGGCAGCTATATATAGCATCTGCTCAGTTACACAATAAAGAGCTGCCAATATTCGTTTCCTGGATGATATCTTTATAGATGGCTACAATCTGCACTTTACCATGTGCCTGGATTAAGTTGTTGTTTAGACTGGAGAGAAGAGCGAGAAAATCAATCAGTCAATTAAACACTAATGTAAGTGAAATTAATATTGTCCAGGTGCCTTATTTGCCCTCCAGCAGAACACAGACCCAGAATGTAATGAAACTCCTGCATGGAAGAGCAGGATGTCTGGCAGATCTGGGATCAGGTGATGGGCGACTGGTGAGTCTTTAAGACTGGCATGATAATGTTATATATTGTGCTTAACGCCAATCATTTTGCATAATAACAATGCATGTATTTGTCTTACATAGCTTGGACATATAAAACCTAATAATGAAAAATAAATCATTTAACATGCTAATGTAAATGGTATGAATCTCCAAGTGCTATGAGACTTACAGCTGAAGTTTTTTTGCTTCTACTGTAAGCACTTTCTGTTTCAGATGCTTTTGGTGGCTTTCTGCAGATGACTACTTTCTGGTGAGATGCTTAGCAACTGGGTGGGAGAGAAAACATGGAAAATGGAGCAAAATATATGAAGAGTTCAGATGCAAAAGCCTCTAAATGCCATTTGAAATTTTCTTCTAAAATGTCCATTTTTATCAAGCTTGTATATTTAAGTTCAGTAATTTCACTTAAATGACAATTAATAGGTAATCTTCATTGCCATTTAAGTGAAATTACTGAACTTAAATATACAAGCTTGATAAAAATTATCGTTTTAGAAGAAAATTTCAAATGGCATTTAGAGGCTTTTGCATCTGAACTCTTCATATATAAAAATATTGAAAACAGGCTATTTACTTTTTCTGTTAGATGTTGCTCAAGGGGCTTGGCTTTCTGAAATGAAATGACTAATCTATGGGTTATGTTTATGGTGATTTCACACCATGAAAATGGCCACTTGGCAGTCTACCTGGAGCTGAATCTTTTGTGATCCAAAATAGATCCCATTAACACTCTTGTGCCTCACAAAAATATTTTTCTCCTATTATATCTATACTGTATTTTCAAGAATTATTGGTCTTGCTTTTTATATACACGTGACAGAGAGCAAACAACATGAGCCACAGCCAGTCTAGTTTATGTCTAACTGGAACTGACATACATATCCCAGAACCTGGTTCTCAGGTGTAGGTTTGGCCTGGGTGTGTTTTGTAGGTATTTGCTGCCACTGTAGAGGGTTTCCAGTGCACTGGCTTTGAAATCAATTCTATCCTAATTGGATATGCCAGAGTCAACGCAAAGTGGAAGGGAATACCATCCAGCACTGCCCGTTTTATAAACCAGGACTTTTGGGAGGTAAGATGTTGTTAAAAGTAAAGTATAATATTCCTGTGCTATTTCAACTGGTCTTCCATTGGCCATTCAAAGAATTAGTCCTGCCCTTAACTCATGCCATTGGTTGAGTAAGTGTGGCTGTTTTACGATGCTCAAGCAAACACAATGACAACAGTGTTGAATAAGTGTTTCCAAATCAACCTAAAGGGGAAAAACAAGGTCAGAGTTTCACCGGAAAGCGTAGTTCCACAAGGAGCAGACTAGTCTTAGACTAGTCTTAAAAGTTAGCCATAATTTTTTTCAGGACTGAGCCTAGCTATTTCAAGTCAGTTACATAGAAAGGTGGATTGTTCTAATTTGAAGCAAAAAAGTAAGATGGATTACTTCCTGTCTAACTGCTGGTTGAACTGCTTGAAAAATTGCACATATCGTGTTCAGATTTTATCAGATTTTATTTCAGATTTGATTTCACATGTCCAAGTGTTGATGATTCAATTTTACCATTTCCTTTCACAGACCAATTTGTCCAAATATAACAATATGACTGTTTTCTTGGCACCTGGAGTGGTATGTATGCGCAGATGTCCTTGCTCCATTTGTACTGAGCTGATAAAAAGACAATTTGAGGACTGTTTTAAAAATAGAGAAAATGGTACAGTATCTTTCAAAACTGAGTACAAAGAGACTTACAAATTCTACACATCTTTGTTGGAGAAGAATTTAAGCTGAGGTTACCATGGAGCTTTTTTGAGTAATTTTTTAAAAACATGATGTGTGAGACAGATGGCGATGAACACAGTCCCACTTCTCAATAGAAAACACTAATGCAACAAAATCAATACAATGTGGTCAATACAATGTGCTTTGTTGTCTACAGATGGAGGTGTTGGGTAGGAAACTGGAGAAGGAGTTACCAGATGAGGCTCGTGTGATTGCCTGTCGCTTCCCATTTCCCGACTGGACTCCTACAGCCACTGAGGGTGACGGACTGGACCAGGCCTGGGCATATGATATGAATGCCATACGGAAGCTTTCAACACACACTATGAGATGAGGAGAAAAGCACCTTTCCTTAAGTTGTGTCAAAAAGATTTGTTTTGTGTTTGATCTGAAAAAGTTACCTGTCACTTTAGAAGATATATGCAAAGTATAAAGCATATAATAATTACTTGTTTTTAAACTGAAGACAACATTTTTTCCTCCTGTTCTGTTCCCAGGTGGGTTTGATGTCCAATGGCTTGTGTGTGCTGTATAATTTTAAACTAAACTGTGAAATAAAGAGCAAACATTGCCTTAATGCCAACAAACTGCTCCTATAATCTTGGTATTTAAATACTGTATCTCCTAGAACAGCAAATCTAAAAAAAGATTTGAGAATTTTGAGGATAAGAACATGTTTCTCTATCACATGTAGTTCAGTCCTACATTATAGTTCCCACAAATTAAGAAAAATAATTGTTTCATTCATTAAAAAAACGTCAAGTACGTTTAACATTATCCATAATATTAATTATTTGTAGATGTGAACTTGTGAAAAGTGCTTAACTAGGTTGATCTAAATGTAAATTTAAAAAAAGTATGTTAAAATGAAAGCATTTGTGCATGATTTTAATGACTAAATACAGTGAAGAAGGTCTGATGTTGGACAGGTCAAAATCCCAATTTAAAACAATTTATTTTTTATTTTTAATGGAGCTTGCCAGATGTTGTATGTAACTTTGACCACATGGTGATGCTCTGACACTCTGAATCAATGCATGGGATTCAGTTCTATTAAACGTACAAATGAATTTACGATGGTTAATTTATTGAATATCAATATTTAGCCAATATCTCGCCGATGCTTATTTGTATTGTGTAGGGTATAAATACCATACCTTTATCCGAAAAACAAGATCTGTAGGACATTTTTTCTGTGCCTGTCAGAGATTCCAGTGTGATTATATGAACCATTGCACAGATGTACCTGTTCTCTCCTATAAAATTCGTCTAGTAGGTGTCTGTGAAGTGTCTAGAATGTTTAATAATGGATAGAATGAGGTAGTTCAGATGACTGTACACCAGACCTCACGCGCCATATAGGGTCTTCCCCTCTCGTGACGCAGTTTGATTAGAGTAGAGGCGCGCGCTGGGTGCTGAGGTATAAAAGCGAGGAAGCACGCCGGTACAGCAGCACTGTGACAGTACACACAGTTACAGAGTTATGGAGACACTAAGGAATACCTCTTACCCAACTATAACGGCAAACAACGAAAACATGTGTGAGCTCAATAAAATAAGTGAGCAAGGAAGGAAAAAGCCAGAGGATAACAGTCGGACAGGCACTGAGTATTCCAGAATCATTACAGACCCCAATACTGGGAAATGTTACTGCCGGGGGAAAGTTCTGGGAAAGGTAATGACCGCAATAATAATCCTGGTATTATTTAAAATATGATATTTATTATTTATAGAATAGTACTATATTATTTTATGTGTGAAAAAAATGTTATTCATTGTATTTGTACATGTTTGCATTGCTTTTGTAGACGTAATGCTAGCCTATATTGAAATTATCTATCTGTCTGTATGTTTGTGCACTTATGACTGGATTGCCTCTTGAAAATCTCTTTTTCTTGAAGTTGGTTAACTTTTATACTTATCTTGCACTTTCTATATGCCATAGGGAGGCTTTGCAAAGTGCTATGAAATGACCGACCTGTCTTCAAGTAAAGTCTATGCAGCCAAAATCATCCCCCATACGCGTGTGTCAAAACCGCACCAGAGAGAGAAGGTAAGACAGACACATGGCACAAGTACGATTTCATGAGTGAGTGATTGATCGAGACCTCTTACTGATGTTTTTTGTTAATCCAGATAAACCGAGAGATTGAGCTGCACAGATCTCTCAGCCACAAACACATAGTGCACTTCTACCACCACTTTGAAGACAAAGACAACATATACATTCTATTGGAGTACTGCAGTAGAAGAGTAAGTATCTTTGTTTTAAAGTGAGTAATTCAACCATAATAATATATAATGCAAATGACTGTTATCCCTAACTGACTCCTGGTATTCTTTTTTTTAGTCATTGGCCCATATACTGAAGGCACGAAAAGTCCTAACAGAACCTGAAGTCCGGTATTACCTGAAACAGACAGTGTCCGCTTTAAAATACCTTCACGATTTAGAGATCCTGCATCGTGACCTGAAACTAGGTATGCATGCATTTACACACTCACATGATGTTTATTAACATTCCATCAGTTCATAAGTAGTTTTTTTTTTATGTTTCATCATTCTAGGCAACCTGTTTGTGAGTGACTCGATGGATCTGAAAGTGGGAGATTTTGGGCTGGCTGCCAAACTAGAGCCAGTCAGCAACAGACGCAAAACGATCTGTGGTACACCCAATTACCTGTCCCCGGAAGTGCTGAACAAACAGGGACACGGCTGGGAGTCTGACGTGTGGGCTCTGGGCTGCGTCATGTGAGTTTGTCACCATCAGATCCGAGGGTTTCCACTATGCAATATATTTAGAAACTGCTCAGTACTAGTAGGCATTGATTGCCGATTCAGATTCACACTATGAATGAATGCCTACTTTAGTGATTGAACATCATAATAGCAGCACATGTAGCATAGTTTTTCTCCAGTATCGAGCTCAAGCTCATGTCGTTCCAAACCTGAAAGTACTTTCTGTCATCCGGTGAACACAAAAGATGAAAACTGAGGCTGTCAAGCTCTAAAATAGCACCATTAAAGGGGTATTGTGTAATATTTAAAGTCTTTTGAAGATTCAAGTTGTTGTTTACTAAGTGAATAACAACTTCTGTCTGTCAGACTAGCTATGATATGACTAAAGAGGACTTCCTTTATGATACTTTTATGGTGCTTTTGCATTATTTTTGAAGCTTGACACAGCCCCAGTCCTTATTCAGTTAATTATATTAAAAAGAACAGCCCTAATATTATCAAAAAATAGTTAAAAACCTATTGACATGAAAAATGACATGCGGTTGAGTAAATGTTGACTAATAGCCACTATTATCTTAAGAGCCGAACCCTTATTTATCTTCCGTTCATTTTCCTTTTCAGGTACACCATGCTCCTGGGAAAACCTCCATTCGAAACCACAAACCTGAAAGAGACGTACCGCTGTATCCGAGAGGCCCGGTACACCCTCCCGCCCTCCCTCTCTCTCCCTGCCAAACAGCTCATTTCCGGCATGCTCGCACAGAACCCTGTGGACCGCCCGCACCTGGACGGCATCATTCACAATGAATTTTTCACCCAGGTAAGTTTGTCACAACGCAGGTTTCAGAATATTTTGTATATTCAGTATATTTTTGGTCAATGTTTTTGTCGTGATTTCGCCGCAGGGCTTCATGCCAGAAAGTCTACCTGTCAGCTGCTGCCATTCGGCCCCAGACTTCCACATTTCCAGTCCTGCCAAGAGCTTCTTCAAAAAGGCAGCGGCGGCTCTTTTCGGCGGCAAGAAGGACAAAGCCAAGTACTATGAAAATATAAGTAAGTGCTCGCTTTTATGTAACTATAGCATCCTTCATTTCAGATGAACCTATTAATAACTGTTTATCTTCCGACAGATCGCTTGGCCAAAGAAGAGGAAGACATATTCAAGCTCCGTCAAGACTTCAGAAAGACTGCCATCAGCCAGCAGATTACTACACACGTCTTATCCGAGGTGAGCTTGTTCCCTTTATAGAAGACTATAATGAGGAATTCATCACCAGCTATTTTATAGATATTAATAGAGGTTAAGTGTTAGGTCATTCATGACACGCATATGCTGCAATTTCTCCTGTTTAGGAAGGAGGAAATCCGTCAGCACCTACAAGAAAGCTTGTTACCCAGGCAACTGCCGGAAGGCTGCAGACAAGAGATACCATTCACTTGATTGTTAGAGGCAGCTTGGGCAGCTGCAGCAGCAGCAGTGAATGTAAGCATGTGTTATACGCATGTGTGTGTGTGTGTGTGTGTCTGTCTGTGTGTTTCACCTGTTTGGTCTGATTTCAGCTCATTAGTATCGCAAGCTGATGCAATGTATCCCGCTGTCTCTCTGTAGGTCTTGAAGACACCACCACTGGCACTGTGGCTGAGGCTGTTATTAGTGTTCTGAGAGGCTGTCTTGAACACATGCCTAAAGGTGAATAAGACAGATTACACTTCACACTCCATTCTGTTGAGTAAAGAAAATGTGTGATCTTTGCATCTAAAAGTGCTTTTTGTCCCCCCGCACAGCCGATAGTCTTCCCAGAGGAAATAGTTGTAATAGTTTGAAGTGGGTGACTAAGTGGGTGGACTACTCCAACAAATATGGCTTTGGCTATCAGTTGTCTGACAACACAGTGGGCGTCCTTTTCAACAACGGAATGCACATGAGTCTCCTCTCTGACAAGAAGTAGGTACTTCAAGTTGACCGTTTGCTAACTCACTTCCGCTCAAATAAAAAAATAAGCAAACCTAAACAAGTGTTCATGTTTAATACCAGTTTGATTAATTTCTGAAGTAGGCAAATGTTATGCAATACATATTCATGAAGCAGGTGCTTACCAATATGCATAAACTAGGGATGCACCAATATTTTATAATTATTTTTTTATTTGGATAAAACTATAATGTTCAGTATAAAATGAATATTCGTTTTGGATTTGTTTTTTAAAGAAATTGAACAATTTATTTAGCAGTGATGGATTAAATTGATAAAAATGACAGTAGAGATAGACAGTAAAATGTTTTTTTTTTTAACTTCTATTCAACAAAGAATGCTGTGAAATCAAAATTTTTTAACATTGATAATAATAATATATTTTCTTGAGCACCAAATGAGCATATTGGAGTAATGATGCAAAAAAATTAGCTTTGCCCTAAATGATTAAAAAAAATATATATTTAAATGTAATACAATCATTTTAAATTGTAGTGATATTTCACAATATTATTGTTTTACTGCACCCTTCTTGAGCATAAGAAACCTCTTTTAAAAAAACATAAAAAAAATCTTACCGACCTGACTTTTGAATGCTAGTGCATATTTAATATATCCTATAGTATTCCTTATGATTTCCATCCATAGTCTTCAGCGTAGTTTCTATATCTTCTGAAGGGAAGAAAAATTGCATCAATATCCTGGAAATGTCAGTTGAATGACAAATTGCATTATACATCACCAGCAAGCATTAGTCATAGATCTCATATATACAACATATAGTATGTTGTGTTGCATTGATTGTGTAGTTTTTGATAAATATGTTATCTTCATTTTTAGGACTGTTCATCAGTATGCTGCGCTCGGCCAGAAGTCTGTTTTCTCTGTTATTGAGGCTCCAGAGTGTGCTGTGGCCCAGGTCACCATCCTCAAGTACTTTGCCCACTACATGGAGGAGAATTTGATGGATGTGAGTGCGCTATTAGTTGAACTCCTTTTGTTTGTATTCAGCTTTGAATTTGTTACAGGTCTAAAAGTCATACACTTGACATTCTGGTCTAGATTTCAGGCTGTACAGAAGCTGCTGTGCTAATATGTATTGTTTATCCTTATTTTTCATTCAGGGAGGGGATGTGATAAGTGAACCAGATACCCAGAAGACCAGAATATACCTTCTGCAGTGGTTGAAATCAGACAGAGCTTTATTGATGCTTTTCAATGATGGCACATTCCAGGTAATATTATGGTCATCTTTATTTATTACAAAGCAGATAGATTTTAAATGGATAGTTCACCCAAAAATTACAATTCTGTCATCATTCGGATGATTAGTAAAATGCAAAAAGCTACTGTCTAGTGCACTCTATGCCCATCAAAACCCCTGGGTAGTTATCAGTCAGGTCTGTCTGTTCAGATAAAAAGCTATGTACACTATAGTACTGTGGGAAGAAGAAGGTCACAAACCCTGCTGCTGTAATAACATCCTGCATCCTGTAAGTGTTTCACGTCAGTTCAAGAATAACAAAAGCTTTTTCTTTATCTCCGAACAGGTGAACTTCTATCACGACCACACCAAGCTTATCCTGTGCACACAGCAGGACGAATACTTGCTGACGTACATCAACGAGGAGCGAACCTCCACCACCTTCCAACTGAGCACGTTGCTGAGCACGGGCTGCAACGCGGACCTGCGCAATCGTCTGGAGTATGCCTTGAACATGCTGTTGCAGCGAAGCAACTGAGATTGACAGATGAGGAGAACAGTTGGCCACTGACTCAGCAGGAAATGATGATTTCTTTCAATGCAAATTAAGGCACAGAGGAGTTGTTGAACTGAAAGTCCACTGGATGTGAGCTGGATTGAGCTATGGAAAGGTCTTCAATAACTCAGACTCTGTAGATTTACAAATGCTGAAATTCAGAGACTGTAGTGAAGAGGAATGATGTGTGAAAAGATTATAAAGAGGAAAGAAGATCTGGGCTGGGACCAGGGATCCCTTGACAAGAAAATGACTTCTTGTGTGTATGTGTGGTAAAATGTTTATGGAACACACATGCATGTCATAATCTGCAAAAATGATTGTTTTCCCCTCTGTCATTACAGAATATTTATTGTGTACATATTTCCTTATTTATTTAATTAATAAAACTCCAAAATTCTAACATTATGATTTTTTTATTTAGACTGTATGAATAATATATATGTGTATATATATATATGTGCATAAATAGAGTGGAGTGGGTGTGACGTTAGAACATTTTAAAGCATTTTGTTCATTTTTGAATATGTAAGTTTTTAATAAGTAAGTTAACTAAGACAGCTTGGAGAGTGTGCAGTGTACGTTGTAGATCCATAAATACCCATAAATTGAAAAACCCTAAAGGAAAATCTTAAAGGAACCAGTGGCGAATTAGATTTCCAGGTTCTGACTCATATCTGCTGCACCACTCGAAATCGAAAGAGTGGGAAGAACTCCGAAAGTAAAGAAGTTTTTTTTTTTTTTTTTTTACTTCATGAATTTTGGATATCTCCCTTTTCTGACCCACATTTCTGGTCTTGGAGTCTCATAGACATATACACTAGACCTCACCTTGGCTACGGCAGTTCGTTGGAACGAATGTGTCAATAGAGCCGCCATCTTGAAACAGGGAGCCCCTCCACTTTAATGCCTCAGCGTCAATGTAGTAGACAGGTCTAACGGGAAAAAAAATCACCATAAATCGTCATAAATGTGATTTTTCTTGTTTTTTTGGTTTGTTCCAATGGTCAGACATGTATTTATCATTGATTCCAGAAAGAATTTTTTTTTTTTTTTAAACACTCTTCCTAGTTCAGATTTCATCCGTGAACATCATACGCTGCACAAAAGTCCACCACCATCAATGAATTCGAAGTAAAGGCAGAGATAGCAGTGTTAACTAGCTACTTCCTATGACAAGACCCCTGTTCCAAGATGGCGGCGGTTTTGACGCATGCTTAGAACCCCAAGGTGAGGTCTAGTGTATATGTCTATGTTGGAGTCTAACGAGCTGATGAGTAGATTCAGCTGTGATCGATTAGGAAGAGTTGGAAAATGTGTAGCTAGTGTTGGTGTGCCTCCAGGAACAGGGTTGGGAAACACTGGTCTTAAGTATGAGAAAAATGTAAGTACAGTTTTAGAATAACTAATTTCTAGATTTTTTTTATTATTTTTTTTATTTCTAGATTAAACACAACAATAAGCCATCACATTCGCGAATCGCGACTCTCCTGTGATTAAAGGCGGCACTTCCGGTTTTCTTCAGTTCCAACCGGAGTCTCGCTTTCATAATAACGGCTGCGTGAAATCAGCGTATTAAATCATATTAGAGATTTATTTTATTGAAGAGGCTTTTAGTCAAGTAGATGTGGTCAAGATAAGTGACAGATGTTCACAGCAAATCATTCAACAAGTAGGCTACAAGCTACACCACTGCCACTGCTGTAGTAGAATGAACATCACATTCACTTGGCCAGAAAAGTAAAGCCTCGTCTTCTTAGACTGCTAGTAAGTTTGAGTTAATTTAGTTTTCTATAAAAATAACGGCAAAATGACAAAGAACTCATGATTTGTAAGTAGCCTAACCATGTCAACAGACACGCAGGGTCAAGGTAATACAAAGCAAAATTCAGTCATGAGATATGGCTTAGATAAATAGAAATAATTGAATTCAGTTTGAATGATACACATGTGACGACTTATCAGTGCAGGTGCATGCTCTATTAAGTCTACTTTTTGTGCGCTATGAATGCTGATGTCTTGTGTTTGGGCAGTCAGACATATTTCCATAGTAAAAGAAATGGACAGTTCTAGTAGCTGTGCCAAGAGGAATCTGAATCATTCTCTTCCAAATCTCGCAGAGATGGAGAGCGTGAGTAGGAGCTGTCCATGAGCTAGCAGCAGAATCAACTTTATGACTCTCTGGGCTTTTCTCCCATGCTCTGCATTTTTCAAAAAACGTTTAGCCTTTTACATTCAAACCAGAGTGACAAACTCAAAAATAAGTGACAAATTGTAGACAACATTTCCGAAGCATAGGTGAATTTATCTTCTAGCCATGATTACCATATTCTGTCTTGGACATCTATAAATCGTGTTCCTTGGCGGGGTTTATGTAAATTTTAGGATTTGTGATGTCACTAACCCAGGAGGAATCTTGTCTCTATCAGCTGTTTGTTGTAGTCCTTAAAAAAAAAATTCTTTATAAGAAAATATCTCCCTTTGCTTTGAAATTTGAGTGTTGTAACTTTGCAGATTATGCTCAAACAGCAACATTACACACTAACTAAAGTTGAAAAGTGAAATCATGATCCACCTCCCCTTTAAAGGCTGACATTTTCTTACACTATCACTGACACTGTCTACACTGGATACATACAGATACAGTGTTTAGTTTCTGACATTTGAGTTTGTCAACAACAGGACAAAATGAAAGAGTGAAAGAACATTCATAGTGTTCATAATGTACAACATATATGTTTATGCTATATGTTTATTCGGAACATTTTGTTTTGTAAATGAGCCACAGTGTAATTGCGAATTCACAAAGAAATTTGTTGAAAGATAAAGCAGCAAACTTTATTGGATCTGACAGTGGCTTCATCACAAACCGTAATTAAAAGATTTCATATCGTATCATTCATTATATGTATTTTTTTTTATGGAAAATGTTTTCAAAACACTTACGTGCAATAGTAGTGCAGTAATAGTAGGCATTGAGACTGTTTCCTATGTAATGACTTGAAGGAGGAAAAAAATCATTTCAGATGGAGGGTCTGAATGTTTTTCCACATATACAATGTTCTGTTATCTGTTACAATATCTGTTTTTCCTCCTTCAAGTCATTATATATATATATATATATATATAGTGCAAAAAACGTTATTAACATTATAAGGAATAATATTAAAATTTAAGTAACATCATTAGACAGTTTACATAGATAAAGAGGGCAAGGCCCATCATCAAAATGACTATTTAAGCACATGCTAAAACAACTATGATGTCAACTTTCCAGTTAATCTTCAGATGGATAATTGAAAGGTGGAAACATTACACTATTATTTTGAAGCAAGTCAAATGAATGACATGGCATTACACAACAAATAAACTACTTCCATCTTACAATTAAAGGAAGCTTTTGAGGCAAACTCCCAGGAAGAGTAAGGATATTACCTAGCCACACCTCAAACAGAGAATCACGAATATTACTGGCATTTCTTATGTCAGTAGAGTATATTTAGACACTTTTATCTTAGGATCCAAAACTACACAATCAAGCAGTTGTCTAAAAGACAACCCATGTTTTGATAATTCTTTTTTTAGCCCATTTGACAGGTTATCTTAAAAGGAAATGAATTAGCTATTAAAGATAAATTTAAAACTAAACAAATCAAATATTAAAAATAGACTGAAACTAATAGGTTCGTTTTTGTCCTCAACATACTGCCAGTAGAAAAACTTACAAACTGAAATGTATTGTTCACTACATATCTCAATATGATCACATTGACATCATCAGTATTAAAAAAAAAATGTCTGTCTTGTGAATTTCAAGCATCATTACAGACCTTCAGGAAATGATTTCCTGGTTCTTCACCATGCATTCTCTTTTAACGGACTAGATTATATTACTCACTGACCTATGCAAAAAATAAATCTGGCAGACTTTTAACAACCCAAATCTTCGGCATGGATGACTCACATAGGCTACTTCTTACAAATGTTCTACCAATTATGCTCTTAAGATGTGTATGCTGTGCGTGTGCATATGTACACCAGCATTCGTTCTGGCATGCTTTTATGTGCATGTGCGATAAACCCTCTGAAGTCATGTCACACAGCTGTGCTGGTTACGCATGTGTTGCGCTCATGTGTGGGCTTCACAGATTCATTGCAGGCTAGAGAATCTAACGAAACATTGTTTGGTTCAAGCTCTCTATCATTTCCCAAACCGATCCATCCCTCAGATTTCACATTTGACCCTGCAAGGGTGGAATACATCTTGAAAGGAAAGCAGAAGGGGAAATAAATCAATAATCAGAAATGTTCAGGCATTTGAACTTTAACTGAAAATTTGCACAAGCCCACTCTCTACCACATTGTGAGTTTGCTTTAGGGAGAAATATAATGCGATTGGAGGGTAAAGAAAGAGTTGAAAGTGCATGGAGGATACATTGGAGCAATCTGATGTAGGAAGATGAAACATTTTCAAATTGAATTCGGACAAGGGATTGCAATCACTCGAGCAATCAGCTCCAACAACATACTTGAGATTTCGATCAAAGGAAAATGCTCTCACATACCAGGATAATATGTTTATACCGGCAGTGCTGTGAGACACAAAAAGGGAAACTTCACATTGGTTCATTGCCTTCTGTCTTGGGAGAAGAATTTCTTTGGGCCCAAAATCACATGTATTCCACGTGGAACCAACCCAATTGGCAACATTACTATGTCTCGCTATGAATAACTTTCTTGTCTCTGAAAATGCCAAAGCTGCCCACTTACGCACACACAGTGGCTTCCCATTTGCCTTAAAAGCCCAATCTAGTTGCTGACGTCTGAAATCATATTTTGAAAAAATGAAGTAACTTATTTATAAAACTGCCACATCTTTTAGACATCATTTCTTTGCCAAGGATGTTAAACATAAGGCATGTCTGAACAGTTGTTGAAATTGGACATCATGAAGTCATGTCTTACTTTAACCTAATAAACTGCTGAAGAAGGTTTCATTGTTAAAAGAGAGCTGAGCCTTAAAAAAAGTTATGTGGTGCTACCTGATATATACCATGTTACTGAATGATTAGCATTTTTATTTACCAAGGTAATCTACTGCTCTTTCAAGAATACCATGGTTCATTATAAAATACTGCTTAAAGGTGTGAGTTGCAGAAGAAACCATGATCAGTTTATTAACTCCAAACATGAACAAAATAAACAGAGTCTTGGCACAAAACATTAACTTAAACGAGGACAAGAACCTCACCAACAGTTGATACCCAGACAATACTAGACAAGGGACAATGGTAACATGAGTGCTATATACATAGATATCCATAATAAATGCTAGGTGTCGAGGAGTCTTTATCGTCATCAGTGGCGGCCATCTTGTCACAGGCAAGCTGATATATGAGTGATCAGTACGAACACAAATAACTCTTGACGAATTTGCAAACGGTTTGGTTTCTTACAAACGTTACTAACGTGCCTATAATTCTGGATTATTATTTATTCATACACTTATTATTCATAAGTATGCAGTGTCATAACTACATCTCTGACGTTTAGAACAAACCAACCCGTTTAAAAATCGGTAGAAAATTTAGCAAGTTATGGTTATTTGAAAAGTACATGCATCATTAAAACGCAATGTTATGAGTGAGTGAGCTGCTTGTGACAAGATGGCTGCCAGGTGCGGACGTGGGCCTCCAATGGCCATTAAATTATTAATGTAAGGGCAAAACTGAATTTTCAGCAGCTTTACTCCAGTTTTCACTCTCTCATATCCTTCAGAAATCGATCTAATATGGTTGTGCTTTGGAACACAGGAATTTTTGTGGATCATTTTTGCTCATTTGCTCACATATGCTCATTTTTTTCTGGATTATTTGATCAATTGAAAATTCAGAAGAACAACATTTATTTGAAATAGAAATCTTTTGTGACAACGTAGCTAATTGTCTTTACATTTTGATCAATTTAATGCATGTTGGCTACATACGAGTATTAATTGCTATAAAAATATCTTACTCCAAACATTTGAACAGTAGGCCTAGTGTACAAAAATATATCTTTTTTTTTTTTTTAAAAAGCAAAAACATATGTTTTGTACATGTAGCATATAATACAATTCTATTTTTACCTGCTACCATATGATATTAAAATCACTTATGCTATGATATGCATTAATGTACCATGGTATTACCATCATTATACCATGTTTTTTGTACATTATACCTTTACAATAGTTCTAGGTAGACCTACTGTAATGGTATAATGTTGGATGGTAATACCAATTGTTCTAGGTAGATTGTAAAGGTGTAATGCCCAAAAAACATGGTAATGGTGGTAATACCATGGTACGTTAATGCATATCATGGCACTAAGTGATTACAATACCATTTGGTAGCAGGTAAAAATTCAATTGTATTATCCTCTACATGTACAATACAGATGTTTTTGCTAGTGGAACCAGCACCGAACAAACTTACTTTTACTATTATTTTCTTCTATTTTAGCTTCCTCAGCCTTAAAAATACCTTAGATTTCCAAATCACAGATGCATGTTGACTTATATGAGTTCAGAGAAATACCATTTCAAATGTTATCAGTGAGCAGAGTTTAATGTGTGTCTGTTTTTGTCAGGGCTTTGGGGAAAAGCGATCCTCCTTAGGCCACCAGTGGTCTGAACACATCTCAGAGAATTGCCATTTAATTGCCAGTGAAGGTTCAGGGGGTTCACAGGAGAAAAAATAACTACATTCCACAAAAATAGGATGGAATCATGCAGCATAGGCTGTATGGGAATCTGTGCTGATAGGGAGCAATGCAATAATATGTGCGCAATGAATGTTTTTGTGTGCAGCCTCTCACTTCTCAGCTTTGGATACACCCAAGACAAACATGTGAACAGTGACACAACTAACAATATTAGAGTGTATTTATTCGGTGAAATCCTGGACATACATCCTAGTGGATATCCCTTGTTTGTCAGTTGGAGGAAAGAACAATACTGTGGGTGTGTGTGTGGCTTTCGACTGGTACATTTAGTTGAAGGATAATTTTGTCTTGTATGCATTTGTTATGCACACAGTCTTATTCAGGTCTCACAATTTTTTTCTTTTTTTCTTTCTCATTAGGTTTCATGGTTTGTCCTGTGGGGAAGTTTCTCGTTACTGAAAGGTAGGTTGAGGCATATTGATAGCTCAAATTTTGCAAGTAGTATCTGGCGATCTGCAGGGCTGATGCTCTATAATTAAGCACAGATGATGCTCAGCCCACTCACTGATTTGTGGACAACATGGTGCCCCTGGCAGGTTTGTGAAGCTTTTGAAGATCTGACCTTTTGTTGGCCATGAACGACCCCAAATCTGGCTAATATTAATAGAAAACTGGACTTAGGTAAATTTAATACTTATTATGCATCATTGCTTATAGCACATCACTCTTACCTTGATGCAAGGGGGTGGGTGTGTGTGATTCATACAGAGCTCTCTGTCTGTGGGCAGAAATTGATCATGTCTGTTTGAGCTTTTAACGGAGGCAGACAGAAACCTCGATCTTCCTCATTAAGGTCTGGGAAGGATGTGTCAGGAATGTCAGACATGTTGAAGCCCCCCCACAAATGACACACAACCCAAACAGCAGCTGAAACACCGGGAGCCGTTGTGCTGTGTCAGTGTGTCACATCTTGTTTGTGAGCTCAGACACTGTGGCCAGAGGCTTTATCTTTCAATAAACTTTTCTCACAGCCGTGCTTATGAAACACTTTATGGCTGGCACTCTGGCGTACCAGCCCAGGTGCTTGGAAACTGTAAAGAACAAAACATACAATCCCGGGAGGGGGGTCAGCTACTTTATGTACTTCATAAACCTTATATAAATAATGAGACTCTTTGTGTGAACATGTTTATGAAATATTTATCTTCCCTACATTTGGAAGGCTCAAGCAATGTTACAGTCTTAGCATATATGGTTCGATTTGGCTTGGCTGATAAATCAAAAAAAGCAAAGGAGCCAAGGGATGTTAACTTGTTACAGTAAAGAGCTGCAGTTCTTCTGGCATTCAGAGCGATTAAACCCTGCAATTGTGTTTGTGTGAGAATGCCATAACCTTGTTAAACCTACTTTTCACCAAAATAATGTTACTGATACTGTGGTACTGCTTTGTGTTTGTCAAATTGTATGGCTTGTTCTGGGGTAATGTATTCAGAGCCCCCTAGCAACGGCCTAGCAACCACATAGAAATATGTTAAAATACACTCAAAAAACCTTTACAACCACCTAGCAACGCCATTGCAACTAGCTAAGAACCACATCAAACACCTTAGAAACCACAGAGCAATGTACTAAAAACCATCCTGAACTATACAGCAATATGGTAAAAAGCACTTAGAAAACTTTTGCCATAGCATTGCACCGCCTTATAGCAACAACATAGCAATATGTTAAAAATGCACTCAAAAAACATTTCCCTTCACATTGCAACGCCTTAGCAACATAGCAATATGTTAAAAATGCACTCAAAAACCGTTTCCCATTGCATTGCAACGCCTTAGCAACCACATAGCAATATGTTAAAAATGCACTCAAAACTGTTTGCCATCGCATAGCAATGCCTTAGCAACCACATAGCAATATGTTAAAAATGCACTCAAAAAACATTTCCCTTCACATTGCAACGCCTTAGCAACATAGCAATATGTTAAAAATGCACTCAAAAACCGTTTCCCATTGCATTGCAATGCCTTAGCAACCACATAGCAATATGTTAAAAATGCACTCAAAACTGTTTGCCATCGCATAGCAACGCCTTAGCAACCACATAGCAATATGTTAAAAATGCACTCAAAACTGTTTGCCATCGCATAGCAACGCTATAGCAACCACATAGCAATACAGTATGTTAAAAAACACTCAAAAAATCTTTGCAACCACTTACATTTGTAACAGTAACACCATAGCAATTTTCTAAAAAACACATCAAGCACCTTAGCAAGTGAAGAGCAATGCACTAAAAACCATCCTGAACTATACAGCAACATGGTAAAAAGCACTCAGAAAACCTTTGCGACAGCAAATCAACTTGCTAAGAACCACTCTGGAAACCAGCAACATTGAAATGCATTAAAACCATCCTGACCTACACATCAACATCTCTAAAAACCCTCTTTGTAACGAACTAGCAACAACATAGTAGCATGTAAAAATAAATCATGTGCTAACAACACCATATTAACCACATAGAGATGCATTAAAACCACCCTGAACTCCACGGGAACGTCTTAAACACACTCATAAAACTTTTGTAACTGCATAGCAACGCCCTAGCAACTACATGGTAATGTAAAAAAATTGTTGCAACCACATAGCAATGTGGTAACAACCACTTTGAACACCTTTTCAACCAAATAGCAATCCACTAGCCCCCCCTCCCCCCCTCTTAACTACACAAAAACATTTGTAAGAAACCTTTGTAACTGCATCGCAAGTCCCTAGCAACTAAACAGCAACATAGCAACCATATAGGAACGTGCCAAGAACCAATCGAAATAATAATAATAAAACCCTGGGTGTGGCATGCGATAAATGTAGAATTTATTATTTATTCATATTTTTCAATTGTAATGGTAAGCAGTGTTTCTGAATGAAATGACAGCAATGTGTAAGGTGCCAGTCATGTGTAAGAAGAGTAGCCAGCAATAATCCTCTCAGGAACACATTTCCTTTTATGTGTGATTCTAATTAAGGCGTGATTGACTATGTAAATTTCTCCATAATCACACTTTTTTTTTTCCCCTCTGTGTCCATGAGCTCAGAAGCGCAATATGCAGCAGAAATCAGATGCGTCTCCCACGGCAGACCGTGAGTCAGTGAGTCCCAGCGTGAAGCAGTGCAGGGCGGCAGGATCTGAGTGCTGGAGAGCTGTGGATTGTTATGGATTGCAGTGGGTGGATAAGGGTCATACAGAAGTGTGGCAGGGGCAGGAAACAGGTGTCAGAAATGACGCAGAGGAGAGAACGAGTGAGAGTAACTTCAGACGAGCACATGTTCATTCACACACACACAAACAGCAATCAGCGTCCATGTCTTCAAGCTGTCGTTAGTCCATCAAAGCCAACCTCAGTCCATCCCTGATAAATGTGATTTCACCAAGTACAACAAGTTCCCGGATCAACATCTTATGCATAGTATGTCCAGTTTAGACGTACAGTATTCAGGGTTAGGTGCTTTTACATCAGTGTTATTCTCTTATCATTTCTCTCTGGTTTTAGGGATAAGTTATGGGTAGGGTTAGGTTTTGAAGTAGAGATGTGGTTAAGACTATATTACTGTATTAGTGGTGATTACTCAAGCAAGCGTCACTATTGCTCATGTGTATAGGGTTAGCGACCTGAAGAAACCTCTCACCCTAAGAATCAAGTCCTATACTATTTGTACTGTGGCCATGATTGACTCCTCAAGCTTGACTTTTCAGTGATAAAATATGGGAAAAAATCGTTTACGTTTAAGGAGAAGAATCTTGAGGAGATAACATAATATAATAGAGATTTGAGGGTGGCTATTTAGCCACATAGCAACAACCAAAAGCATCCTTAGCAATGACCCAGAATTCCCTATAGCAACAATATAGCAATGTGCTTAAAACAGCACAGAATACTTTGCAACAGTTACTGTAGCTACAACATTGTGGCTGTGATTTTGCCATGGGCACTGACATTTTCAATTAGGTTAATGTGAAAGTCTAGTTAACAGATCTGTCATTTTGTTGGCCAGATCAGTTCTTTGCTATTGGCTCCTTTTGGTTTTAAAGAATCTTAAATCTGCAACATAAATAACATACAGTCACGTATAATGAATTCTTTATCAAGAGAGAGGTGAGAGATGGTTGTGTGACTGTTTACTGTCTCTCTATTAAAGCCACACTGTGGAACTTTTCAACCTTTATAATATATTACCAAAACCCATTTAGATGGTACATCGACTTACAATAGTTTGAATGACATGTCTGCTGTAGCCTGAAGGTGTCTGTATCGCTTTTACTAGCACTTTGTAACTAGAACTACAAAATTCGACCGCTTTATGGCATACGTCACTTTCCCCACCACCCCAAATTCCTCAGATTCTGACGTTTTAGTGCTCAACTCGCATTTGATTGCCGTCTGTATGTTTTCATCATGGCCGAACAGCAGCTACAAGGAAGAAGGCAACGGTTTTATCAAAGGAAACTAAAAAAGAAAAGGGGAGAGTGACTAATTAAAAGCCAGGACGAGGATTAACATTGGTCCAGCTTTCGCTTCGCTCGCTGTCGTGAGCGTAAGGGTGCTCGACCGATACTCAAACACTGCAAGCACACACAATAAAGACTTGGGATGCTGACCGGTTGACTGTTTGTTGACTTTAATTTGCACCAGTGCTGCAGAGCTTGTGGCCTCTAGGGACGCTAGATGTGAAAGTTACAGGTCGAGCGCCACTAGTGGCCAAAAGTTCCACAGTGTGGCTTTAACATTGAAGCTTTGAGTTTAATTATTTTAAAACCAGGGATGTTACCCTTCGTTGCCAAGAAATAGAACATTGAAGCTACAGGGCAGCGTTGATAAGTTTCTGTGTGTGTGCTTCAATGAAAACTAGTTAACATTATAGTTATCATTTTTTGTCCCTAACTCTTTTTCTGTGAGTTTATATCTTGCAGTTTTATCTTGCAACTTTATATCCAACAATGTGACTTTTTTTCAACTTGTTTTTTTTCTTCCTGAGGTAGAAACTGGCATCCCTACATGGTCTTCATTAATTGAAGACGTTTCGTGGTTATTCCGTGTCATTGAATATATGCGATACTCACAGCAGCAAACGATTCAATACAACACACAAGAATATTCTAGCAGCAATTTGTAGATAGAAGGCCTTTTCTTGTTCTAGTCTGTTGATCCAGGTATATGCTGCCCGTCGCACGCTGCCATTATCGGTCGAGTTTTGATTTTCCTGTTTGTGTGGGATGGCCAGGATATTTTCCTTCTGTGAGTCTAACAGGAAGAGAGTCGACTGGGGGTGGTGCTTTCTCGCTCGCTCTCTTTTTGTGACTCATCAGAACAACCAGCATCCACTCCAAAGCACACTGCTGTTCAATAGGACTCACGATCACTCTCTCTATTGCTCTGGCCTTTATCCCTCCCCGTGTCTTTCACAAAGACGTACGCACTATTTATACGGCAGATAATCGAAACACGTCTCCTCATGCCTGAACATAATTCTTGTACACATTATTTCACTTACTATGCATGCAAAGCCGGGCTGCTTTTTGAAGTGATCAGCATGACGCAACCCCTTTGAGTTCGTGCGTTTTTAAAGATAACATGTTGCAGTTCATCTAAGGCGGCTGGAGAGATGGATAATTGTGTTGCCAAGGAAAGCATGGGGAGTATGTGTTTGTGCGTACTTGTTCAACAAGAAATAAACATGTTCAATTTATTGCTCTGCCATTGTGACTGTATACGGTCAGAAGCAGAAGTCCCGCTGGACTTGGCATTGTTTGGACTGGGTCTCAAGGTAGAGCTGCAGGCCCAGTTGCCAGATAAAAGCAGAGAAGCATTTTCATTATAATCAAGCATGTTTCTTGATTCTTTTCTCACCCAATATCCCAGAGAGCCTGGTAATTATTCAGACATGAATAGAATCTCGCACAAACTCTATGGAGCCAAAGCCTGAAAAATTTTTGGTTTGGACATTTGTCATTTCTATACATTGTTGTGACATATTGTTCCTTTTGTACATTTGATTTTTTTAGAGGTTATATTACAATAAATATTACATTTTATATTTTTTTATTTTTGCTGTCAATGCAATTAATCAAGATTTATCACATCTAACATAAAAGTATACATATATAATATAAATGTGTGTACACACACACACACGCACACAAATTACAGCTTCAAGTTTGGAGATTTTTGTCATTTTTGTAGCTCTTCCGGTCCAAGCAGAAAAGCGAGGAGGAGGGATGAGAGAAGAGAGGATTTACGTATAGGTCTCAGGATCAGACAGTGACTGCATGAGCTGAATACTAATGTGATCACGTGAGAAGACCAGATCTCTTTTTTTATACAGCTGTGATATTTTCGAGTTAGTCATCCTCACTAATACTGATTCAGTGTGTTCTTTTCCTGCAGTCATCCACCACATCACAATGACGGCAGGCTCCACGGCAACCCGCAATTTTAAGTGACGGTGAAAGTCATAGAGGGAACAGAGACAGAATAAATGTTCAGGCAGTTCTGTCTTACTCTAGTCAGAAAATGGCTTGCATTTATGTAACGCTCGCAGGTGTTAAGATATTAAAATTCTACACAAGACATGAAAGGAAGTAAACATGTCACACAGGACAGAGTCTGTTACTGAACCACTCCATTTGTTGGTCTGCCACACACTGGGGAGGATTAAGTTGATTTGAATTTCCTGAAGGAAATACAAAGGCTTGTCAGGCAGCAAAAGAAGGTTTTAGGCTGTGGTTCTACGTAAATGATTTTGCGTCAGAGCGTTGTCTTTGCACTCGTGCAGCTTAAAAATGGTTCAATATACGCAAGATGAGACCAATCACAGCTCAGTATGCAAATTGATATAAATTATGATACTTTCACGCTGACCCCAGTCCATTTGTCATTAGACTCATGGTTTGACTGGTTTTACGCCTCACACACACCATATCAGGTCTGCTTGAAATGTTAGTCTGGGCTTTGAGTCACAGTTTGAAAGCAGCCTGTTAGTACTCTGCATTTGGTGATCTATCATTTACATGCAGCCAATAATGCTCAGTTATAGTTTAATGTGTTTCTCATTGCTGCTTGTCATCTAAATTACAAAAACAAAAATTAAATTGCACATTTAATACATTAAAAAGTATTTATTTTACTTACAGAAAAGCTTAGTATAATGTACATTTTCGGCTGACAAATGAAAGTGCCCTTCTAGATGGTAAATCTAAATGAACAATAATATAAATAAAATAGTCTGGAATCCTCTAGTCCTGAGATTGTTACTAAGAGAAAGTGGTAAACATCTGCCACTATGTGATGCGGTTCTAACCCAAAAACAGGCAGGGGAGGGTGGAATTTTTTTTCAAATGTTACATATAAATTTGTACGTAGTTCCAAATTCCAAATGGCATTTTTGCGCCCTTATATGGCACTTCGAAAAGGGGGTGGGCATATGTAGGGGCATTCTAAAGGAAAGTCAACCAAAGGAATCCGTTCACAAAGGGCCCTTGCACAAGTTCATTAGCGAAGGGTACATGCTATGGTCACTTTAAGAAAGTAATTTTATTGTTTATGGTCATGTGACCCAGAGTCTACGCAATTAATTTTCATTTCAGTTTGGAATTCTCCATAAATTATCATCTCTTCGTTTTATTCTGATTCATATTCCAATTGAACTTCCATAGGATGTGGCCAATTCAATTGCAATGGAGCTTGAAAGGAAACCTTCTTCAAAATATCTATTTCATGCAGAGAAGACAAGAAATAGTCTTGGAACGACATGAGTAAGCAAATGATTTTTTGTTTTTTTGAGTGAACTGTTCCTATAGTAGATATATTATATGTTTTAGTTTCAAATCAATTTTGTTGGTCAAAATAAGAACCAAATTTCATGAAGATTACTTCTAATGATACTTCAGACACAGATCTGCACTTAAAAAAGGTCTTGTGTATGTTGCTCCAAATCGAACACATTTTCCTGCACTCTAGCAATTATGTGCTTTGTCTTTACTAATCTAATAATCTTAAATAATCAAACCTGAAAGGAAAGGGTACAGGGCAGATCTGTGCAGTCCTTTCCAATCGTTTCTCCTTTCCTCCCACCCTTACATAAGTACGTAATGTCTGTAACCTGGCTGCTGTCCGTTATATAAGAGACAGGAAGAATCTCGTTAAATATGGAGAGCTTTGTTTGTGCGTCTGTTAGTTTGAGATGAAGAAGACAGTAGAGGCCTGCTCTTCAACAGTCATTAATATGGACCACTCTTTCAAGTATACATATTAATGACTCCTTTGAACAGCACAGATTTCCAGCCTTTAATTATTCCTGTGTAGTCCATTATGAGTAAGTAGTAAAGCTATTGGGAAGCTATCAAGGACCAGGTGAGGAAAGTGGTGAATTGATAAGTGTTTTTTGGGACAAGACTAATATTATAAAACATAGGAAACAGTTTATCTCACTTGATCTGGCAGGTAAAATATGTGTCTTGCTGTCTAATTGATTAATGCTCATGTTCAAAATTATTATTTTTATATTTAATAGTTAAATTAATATTTGAGAAGAGCTTATTTACCTATTCCTGTCAATCATAACAGAAATATGTAAGCAGCTACTTTACTTCTGAGGCAATACCACCACAACCACAATTTTTAATATCTACTTTGCTCAGTGAAAAAAGATGTCACACACTGATGTTTTTATCTTTCATTCTAGGTAGGTATATATATATATATATATATATATATATATATATATACAATTCTAAACGTCTGACCATAGTGTGGTAACAAGTCTCCATTACAGCGCAAATTAAGTTTAAATGTCTCAAACATATTTTAGAAACAGCCTTTGCTCATAGTAATATTATAAGCAGTCAACAATGGAACATTTTTTGGCTTAAAAGTATAGAAACCCATTTCTTTTTAAAATGAAAAAAGTTACATTGTGACAAAGTCGCAATTGCAAGGAAGTCACAAGTGGGAAATAAACAGTTGCATTAGAGATGTGGTCATATTGTGAGATAAAGTCACGATTATGAAAAAAAAAATTACAATCTTAAAATTAAAGACACACTCACACACACTTTTAAAGTAAATACTTTAATACTTGGATAACAACCTGATGTGACCCATTTGCACTCTCTGCTTCTTTAATTATATAAGATTGGTGCTTTGGCACATTACTCCTTTATGTTGTATTCATCCAAACAATGCTCCATTTGAATACAAATCTGATGTTTTCACAAGTAGAAAACCTGAGCCCAGAGATTCAAGAGAGAGAGGCTGTCTGTATCCTTAATGTTCTTCAGGACAAACCAGCTGCTGTGTCTTAAGTATTGATACCATTAAATCCAGGGAACAAAATGTTCAGAGGTTAGTCGATGTTCAAGCAGTAGCCTACTCGATGCATCAGTTTCCGGATAGCATTATTGGTTGGTAAGACCATGGCATGCTTTTTTTTTTAAATTGGCCATGCATTTTTCACAGAGTATGAGGACAACTGATGCAGATTCGCTGATGCTGGTGATTTGTTCCTAGTGTGCTGGTAATTATGTCTCTTAATTAAGTCTTATGTTTCTTTTTGCCTTGTTGTACAGATGACGGACAGATTTTTTCAACAATAACATTGTCTTCCTCTCGTATGCCTCACTGCAGCTGGTTCCTGTTTTGTCCTACGGCTATTTAAACAGCTTTAAGTTCAAGTTCACATTCACTATATTGTTATTCATCACTTATTTGAATACCAGAGAGAAGCAAAAAAAAAAAAACACAAAACAAAACAACAACAACAAATATATATAACAGTAATTATTATTACATATATTTTCAATTTTATGCAATTTGTGCATGCCAACTAAATTGCAAAAACAATAATTTGTACCATCTTGATATATTTTATATGTACCGTGAAAAAACTTTTGAGTATTGTGAATAAATTCTGGTAAATGAATCAGTAATCATTCACTATCATGGTATATATTACAATCTGAGAGCATCATTGTACCAAAGTACCAAAACAGTAGGTCTTTGTGAGATTAACCTCAAGTATAACTTGCTTGGTTGGTGTTCTTCACCATAGTGTGCAGCCAAACAAACAGAGGGAGAAGAAGTTCAGCTCAGTGCCACTGAGTCAGAGCTGAATTGCACATAGATTTTTGTGTGTGTGTGTGTGAGAGAGAAATGCCAGTGTGAGAAAGATGTGCCAATGAGGAACACGTGTGAACTACACATCGTCATGCATCGTTTGGCACTCTAACTTGGAGGTTAATGTAGTGGAAACTATCAAGCGAGTTTTATTGTTTCAGTCTCTAGAAATATCTGTTTTCTGATCTAGAAATATTTGCATGAATGGAGAGTTATGCTTTGTATCTTGAACCATAATTAAAGTCACCATGAAATTAAGATTGACATTTTTTGCATGAGGGCAGGACAACCTGTCAATCACATCACATTACAGCAATAGCAAACCACAACCATCAAACAACCCAATCAATTCCTGATGGACAAATAACGACTCCGTTTTTTTGTGTGTGTTTGAGAAGCTATTTGGTCGGGGCAAAATAAGGAAGAAAAAGCTATCGTAACTTCTATTTCATGCCAACTTTAAATTCTGAAATGAGTCTTTATTAACATTCCTTATGAATTGACATAAACTTATGGGTAAATTGTATTTTTAATGTTCGTGGAAATATAATGCGGAATCTTCTTAATTCTTCTACTTCTTAAAGGCTCTTAATGCATCGTGTTTGCATCAGTGATTGTTTCCAGCTTTTGTAATAGTTGAGTTCCTAGTTTTTTTTTAGTGTGAAAATATGGATCTTAAAATCATTCGTGTCTTACTGTTGGAAAGGGTTTAAATATGCATAAGATAAACCTGTGATAAACACTGACTATGACCTACTGTGATCTGGTGTCATTGTTTTTTCCCCACCAGAGGCTTCTAACCCAGATAACCGTGTTTTAATTGCAGGCAAAGGGAGTTCCCAAACTCTGGATCCTGTTTTCCCTTTTTCATTTCACATCATTGTTTGCTGAAGCAGCCGGTCATGCTGGATGGTCAGGAGATCTCACCACGGCCTGGCCTTCTTTTCCCAGCACACTCAGAACATTGCCTCGAAGGATGACCTCACCTATTGTTCGACCTCACATTGAAATACATTGAACTCTTTCGAGTCACATTGAATTAGACACATGTTTCCTTTCATATCACCCAATGTAAGTAGCTACATTTAGTGCAAAAAACAAACAAACCAATATTACAATATTAAGGTAATATATTTAAACAGAAGTTCACAGTGCTAAAGTCTACAGTACAAAAGGCTTTTGTAAGAACCACAATGACTCAATATACTTATCATTATGAAATGCACTAATTGGATTTCATTTCACACACATTAATGCTGTTCATGTCAGACTTGCATCCATATTTATTTTATCTGAAACATAAGCAGACAGAGCAGAAAGAGTTTACCGGATGCCTCTGTCAAATAGAAAATGTATGGAATCCCAATTATCTGAACAATGAAAAACACTTGCTGTATCTGTCCACATAGTTGGTAGCTTAGTTACTTATCAAATACACGACTGAATTGTTAAAGGTTACTGTAAACTCATTGCATGGATTGTAAACTACTCTTAATCAAGTTAAGTTACATTCCATTAGTACTGGCCTGTCAGAACAGCTTTGCTCATGAGAACCTATGATGGTATAGATTGTGGCATGAGTGCAAGTGTCATTTTTCATTTCCCTTATTTGGGTAAAGAGACGAGCAACTCTATGATCTTCAGTCAATTCATTGAAAAACTTCAGTACTTATTAAACTTTCATCATAAACGTCTCAGCTAGACATGTTTTCAACACAAGCCAGAAAATATATGCAAGACAACTAGCTTGTATGAAAAGATGACATCAGCGTAAAAGATGACAAAAGATGGCTTCCCCGTTTGCGCTCGGAAAGTGTTGATGACTAATCAGTGTGCGCACAGTTTCATGTGTAAGTCACACGTTCCTCCATGGTGCTTTCTCAAGAAATTCCCACTTATGTGAGGTCACACCAGGAACACAGATGGCTGATCTTTAGAAATGTTCTGAAACTTCAGCAGCAAGTTCATTTTTCTTCATTTGAACTTATATCTCAAAGAGTATTAAATGGATATTTCTTCCAAATTGTCTGTCTGTCTGTCTTACAATTTGTATTTTGATGTGTGACTGTGTGCCTTCAATGTATTCATTTATGAACAAAAACAGTTTAAATGTTCTTCAAAATATCTTTTTTTTTGTGTGTGTGTTCTAAATACAGGCTTGGAGTGAACTACTTTAAACAGACATTAACCTTGCCATAATTGAGATACCTGGGGATACATTTCCGACTCTCACAGTATTAACATGAAAACTGGCACAACATGTACAAATAGGCATTCCTACACCTACACTGGCTGAGTACATAGTATCACAGTTCATCAAGATTTTCCCAGCTCTATAGCCTGCAGTCGTGTGATTCACTGAGAGTAGCAGCACGGACTCTGGAGACTTCAGGCCATCTTTGTAAACTTGAGCTTTATCAGGGATCTGATCTCTCTGGATACAATAGGGAGATTAACCAACCCACATTCTCTCTGATGTTCCAGTGAAACAGATAAGAAACCCTGTAACCCTCAACAGTATTTTACTCTTTCTCAGCTCTATGCTTCGTCACAGCTGTCGCTAAAATTCATAGGGGACAAGATTTGTGAGAGGGCCACCTTGAACCCAGAGAGCAATTAGCAGTTTGTTATTGTACATACAGAAACAATTTAACTGTAGTTCAAAAGTTTGGTGTCAGTAAGATTTTTTAAAGAATTGAATACTATTGCTCAATAAGGATACATTAAATTGATCATTGTGACATCTTGTATAGACATAATAGACATTTGTAATGTTAGAAAATATTTTTTGATTTTTTTTTATCAAAGAATCCTTAAAAACGATGCATTACACACACAAACACACAAAAATCCACAAAAAAAGTTTCTTGAGCACTGACTGGTGACAGTACTGATTTCTGAAGGATCGAGACACTGAAGACTGGAGTAATGATGCTGAAAATTCATTTTTTCAGTGATGCTAAAAATACATAACAGGAATAAATTACATATTTAAATATCATTTTTTTAAATTACAATAATATTTTACTGTAAATAAATGCAGCCTTGGTGAGTATGATTCAAAAACATAAACACTGAGGAAATATTGGAGCACAAAATTCTCTTCGTGCTATATTAACCTCAGACCCAATTTATTTCCTTGTTCTATAAACCCATTAGAAATTCTGGAGAAGCCGTGTCGAATTACCCTTTCAGGTGGGCGACAAACTGACATCACGACTCGCTCTATGTAATTTGATTACATGAATGAACACACAAGTATGGGAAAATGCGCAAGGCTGCTTTTGTGTTCTATCTAGACATTGTTTATGCATTGATGACATGAACACACACACACACACACACACACACACAGTCAGGGAGTGAAAGGAAGCTGGAAGCATCTGCAGAGGATATGTGTGGCATCCTTCCTCAGTTGTCCGGGAAACAGACGAACGGAAACCTGGAGGAAGTTCCCCATGTGATGAATCCAAAGAGAGGACGTCAATTGGCAAATAGCAAAACATCCATCCATCCATCCATCCGTCCGTCCATCCGTCCGTCCGTCCGTCCGTTGTCTGTCTATCTATCTATGTCTGTCTGTCTGTCTGTCTGTCTGTCTGTCTGTCTGTCTGTGTCTGTCTGTCTGTCTGTCTGTCTGTCTGTCTGTCTGTCTGTCTATCTATCTATCTATCTATCTATCTATCTATCTATCTATCTATCTATCTATCTATCTATCTATCTATCTATCTATGTTCTGTGTCTAGCCTAAATGTTATTGTGTACATGCATACATTTTTCATTTTGTTTTAGATATTTTTTTGGCTCAATTCTGTTGTGTATTACTGGGGCAAAATGGTTACACAGAAGCTCGATCTAGGCCACATTTGCATTTGTCAACAAAATGAATTTAGACAGCTTTGGGGAGATAAGGGATGGGAAACTGTCAAACAGGAAGCAAGTGACAATGTGTTGATGTTTTCTCGCTGTGATGTATAGACCCTATTTTACTGTAAGCTCACAGTGTTAAGGCCACAAATCATCTTTGTGTCATCTTGTCGCTAGAAAGTGCGGTAAAATTGTACCTCACTTCCTTTCATCTGCAACTACGTAATATGCTGTTATATCACGGGAATGGAAATGCTATCGAACTAGTTTATTTCGAGATTTCTGGGTAATTTTTTGAACTGGGCCAATTCAAAAATAGCTCACTCACTAGGCCTATTATGTCTGGTACTGTAGATCTTTCAGTGAAAGTATGTGATGTATTGCCTGTTTTCTATTGCCATGTCAAAATCACAACTTAGAAAAGTAATAGAACATCTCTCCTCAATAAGCTGCACGATATGCGATTCACAACAAATGTGGGAATTGAGCCATTAATGCCATCTTTTCAACAGTGTAGGCTATTTCTTTTATATTTTCTGCTTAAAATTATAGTTGTGCTTATATAAACAAATACTGAGAGAGGAAATGTGCACAAAAAGTAGCAATTAGTGTCTAAACCCGGTGAGAGGAACATGTTGCTAAAATAAAGACCTGCTCCTGTTTCTCACGGATAAGGGAGGGCATGGTCTATATTTAGCATGTCTGAAGCAAATCACAAGCTGATATGCAGATACCCGGGGCTAGATTATCATTTTTTCTGTCCTTGTCTTATGCGGATATGGGATCAAAGTATTGACACAAATGATTTTGTCATTTTAAGTTCCATGGATAACCTGAATTGATCCAGTAAATGTTTCGACAAAATTCTGAAATATATTAAAAAATCGGAAATGAAAACATTTGAATGCTTCTTGTATTTCAGTTTGTATGTATAAATGAATGAATGGAAAAATGAATCAATGAATCAATCGATAATGTTGGGGTTGAAATACAAATCTGTCAAAATTGAAGAATTGGTAGGCCTAAGGATGTTTTCATTAGATGCACTCTCTTTGACACAGACTTCTGTCTCTACTGTACATGTAATAGTGCTTTCATTCATACAGTTATAAGAATGTGATTTCAGCAATAAATTTCATGCTCGACGGAACAATAAATCTGTATTAGCCTAATGACCTTGTATAAAATCTGGGACTGACGTCATGAAATAACATATCAAGCCAGTTCCTGTGCACTGAGGGTCAGAGTAATCACAGACAACAGTCCTGGCAGAGATTAATTATAGAGGTATGATTTTAAAACAGTACAATGTTACTGTACAAAGAAGTAAAGCTGTACCCTTTATCAACAAGATGACAAATGTTCCAATTTTACTTATCAGCAATCTTAAGTGGATGAAGAAACTAGTAAAGGACAACTGTTAAACGAACAAATGCATTAAGTGCTTCTCTTCTTGAAGAACATGAAATATAAGATAACTTTAACTCTGAGTGTTTGCTACTACTGCCACCACATGGAAAAATTCTGCTGTGACACTTATGTGAATTACCATTGTAAAGCAGTTTGATTTACTGTTGTTATAAATTGAGTTATGGTAAATTAGTTTTTAATAATATTATGAAATATTTGTTTTATTTTTATATTTTCCATTTGTATTTTATTTAGATTAAAGTTTTTATTCATTTTGTTGTTTTCTTTCAGTTTTTCATTTTATTCAATTTATAACATGCCCATACATTTTTTTATTACTTTTTATTGGATCAAGTTTTAGTTATTTTAGAACTTTAAATAATAAATGAAAAATAAAAACAAGTTAATGTTTTTTAAAAATGTATTTTATTTCAGTCAACATTTATTTAGGCTAATGAATTGTATATTTAGGGCGACCATAGGGTTTAGTTACAGTAACTATAAACATGTTGTAAAGTAAAATCTACAAAAATATTCATTACTGTAAGAAAAACTTTGAAAATAGCCTTTTTACAGTTTTGAGGTTTTATGAGTGTTAAAGAGAAATCTGAAATTTTAAAGAATATAGACATTAGATATTCTTGTGATTGATGTTATCAGAGGTCAGTCAACTATGTTAATTGTCAGTACAAATAATAAACTCATAATTATGCTATTATTGTGTTCTATTGCACTAAGAACATGTTGCAGAGCTTAGCTTATAATACACATACAGCATTATAACTTGTATGTACTGGGATTGTATTAGGTCCTTTCCATCTTTTTATAGTATGATAAACCTTGTTTTTATTTAGAACGTATATAGGCCTAACTCATTTTGTTCTCATTTACCTTACCTTATATTTTGCATGGTTTAGTCTGGGGGCTTGCAGAGAACACCTTTGTAAGAATGTGTATGTGTGAATGACAATGCCAATTATTTAGTAGGCTATACACCATGCAGACTATTGGGGGTTCATTACTGTAACAGGCCGAATCTAAAACCCTGTTTGCTGTAAATCTGTTTGAAAAGTGTGCCAAAAGGTCTGCGTGCACCATTGGCTCTCTGTGCGCATCCGGGTACTGCAGCACACAGCCAACCTATGAGGCCGAAGACACCAATATGGCGGAGGTAAGCTGGATAGCTGGAAAAAGTATTCGATTTTAAATCCATCTCTTTTACGATTCTGTATGATAGCTATGGCTTTCGTTGATATATATTAGAGCCTCATGTGTATACGGCTGGGGTTTTAGTAATAAATGGGTAAAACTGACGATGGTTAACCGGTTTAATTGAAGAGTGATTTATCAGGATCGGAGAGGCCTCTGAATTTCATCCCCGTTAGCTCACAGGAAAAAAAACAAACAAACAAGAAATCGTCGCCTGTAATTGATACATTGCTCGATAAAAAATCGTTTTCATTGGACTGTTTTATAAGGTTTAATCGTGTTTTAATATATTGTGGGTATGCATATTGGCTGTTAACGTTGAGGGAAGGTTTGTTTATAGTGTGAGCAAAATGGGATTTTGCAGTGTTTGGAGAGGATGACAGCGTCCGTTAATAGAGGATAGCTTTTTGGTTTGTGCCAGTAATTTTGTCGCATTAATAACTAGATAAAAGCTAAGTGTTATGTTGTTTTATAAGAGTGGACATCGTCTTGAATTTACATTGATGTACATTTGCTGTCATGGGTTTTAATTAATTTATTTGTTTTGCACGCAGACGGGTGTAAAATTGAAAATTCATTCGGTGTCTAATGTTTGTGCTTGTCAATGTACTATAATTAATTTTGCATTATTTTTCTGCTTTCTTCATATCTGTCTGTACAGGCTTCCTTTGGGAGTTCGAGCCCTGGTAGGTTCATTGTTTAAGAGTATTGTTTATTCTGATTATAGAGTTGTTAATAAGAGTAATAGTTGACCAATATGGGTTTTTCAGTTGCCAATCCTGCTATCCAGAGGGCAGGAGAGTTCATGTAATATTATAATATAAAGTATTTGTACAAACTTAGATGTTCAAAATGAAGTGAGCATTCTGCAAATATTTGCACAATATTAACTAAGAAATATTTTAATCAGAAAATTTGCATTATCAACTGACTGTTTTTTTTTTGTAGATATTGGAATATATATTTTCTTCTATGAATTTCCACTAAATGCTAAAATCAATAACAGTGTTTCATTTCTTTTCCCAGTTGGCTCTTTGTCCTCAGAGGATCACGATTTTGATCCAACAGCTGAGATGTTAATTCATGAGTATGACGATGAGAGAACTTTGGAGGAGGAAGAGCTTTTGGATGGAGAAAAGAATTTCAGTGCAGAATTGTCAGACTTGGAGAGGGTAACATGCATTCATAACAATCCACCTTTTGACTGATTTGAAAGTGTATGCATTGTTAACTGTTCAATAGATGATAAGGGTCATATTTCTGCTGTGATACATTTATTTTCTAACACGAACAGGAGGGGAACATGCCGATCGAGGAGTTGTTGGCTATGTATCGTTATGAGGCGTCAGTCAGTACAGGGGCAGGATCTAGCATGGACAGTTCTTCCGTTGAACTAGCTGATGATCTGCCTGACATGACCCTGGATAAGGTAATTGACATGATTTTGCTTCAGGGCCAGCCAGGGGAAATTTTCAACAAGATGAAATCACTAAATGTTTTCTGCTGCAGGAGGAGATAGCGAAAGATCTCTTGTCAGGAGATTATGAAGAGGAGACCCAGTCCTCTGCTGATGATCTGACCCCTTCTGTTACCTCCCATGATGCCACAGACTTCTTCCCTAGAACACTCAGATGTGAGAATAATCATTACTATCTTCTACAAGAACAGTTTGGGTTTTTACATGTTAATTTATTCTCTTTTTTCTGAATGCTTTATAGTTTAATCATTTAATTAATTATAAACATGTAAGACGATATTGAAAGTGGTGAGGGGTCAATAATCTTATCTGCATTTCTTAAACTTTTATAGACCCCTTCAAGTATATTTTTTTGCTTTTTAAAGGTATATGCAAATATATTTAATTACTAAATGTGTGATATTTTCTCCAGCCAACGCAACATATGATGGTGATAAAGAATATGAGTGGGAGGAGGATGGTGTGAGCAGTGAAGATTCTAGAAAGGTTAGTATCATATTATTCAAATGTTGTACACATTCTCTTAATATATATATATAGACATAGACCAAACATGGTGATGGAGCTTAGGTGGAGGTCAAAAGTAAAAAAAAGAAATTGAAATAAATCCTTTGAGCCACATTTATATATATATATATATATATATATATATATATTTATTTATATTTTTTTTTATTACAGGAAATAATGGTTGGGTCTCAGTATCAAGCAGACGTTCCCATGGGGCTTAGCCACTATAATGAGGATGAAAAGGGTGAGCGTTTTTAAACCATTTACATTATGAATCATTAGAGCTGGGTTGAACATATTGATGTCTCGATTTGAATCAATTCTCATTTTGATGGACCAATATTGACTGTTAAATCCCAAGAATCTAATGCTGTTCTATCAGAAAATTACAACAATAAATGGCGTTTTGGCGCTCTTTAATGTTGCGTGACAGATCGCTGTTTAACCCAGAGTTTAAGCAAAGCACAAGCGGCATTGCTGATTGCATATGGAAGGATCATCTCTTCTGCTTTACTTCTAGTTATAGCACAAAATAAACATTAATGAACATCAGAAGGTATGCTGAAAGATACAGTACTACTTACCAAAATGTATCACGTCTCATGAAATCACTCAATCAAAAGTGTTAGTGTTTTAACTGTGAAAAGACATAAAATAAAACCGCTCACACAAATGTCACGTAATGTTACATTTACCTCAGAAAAGCCATTCAATGTCCATATACTTGTTTGTTAGCTCGATAAATTATTGAATCACAAATAAATTACCGAATGAGACCAATTTGAATGTGTATTGTTGTTTAAAGCATACGAGGAGGACGATCAGCTGCTGTGGTGTCCTGACGTGCTGTCAGAAAGTAAAGTGAGAGACTACCTCAGAGAAGCACTGTCACAGTCTACAGATGACGGCACACAAGATTCCACATCTGAACACATACGAGATAACGAACAGGTATGTGCTCTCTAAAAGCTCTCATTAATTAAAATAATTTAGGTAAAAATCTTCCGCCCATGTGAGATCTGCTGCTATGGTTTTAATTGCTTTTTTTTCCTCAATGACCTTATTTCTAGGCCTTGTTCGAGCTTTTCAAAAGTAATTACAACACCTGTGAGGCACTGACGCGATACTGCAGTAATGTGAAGACCTTGAAGGGTGGGCTGTTCAGTACAGGACTAGCTTTTAAAGCTTTTGTACCTGTAGTGGCATAAATGTTCACTTTCTTTATGTTGTTTTTTTATAGAAGAATCCCCACCATGGTCAGAGGAGGAATGTAGGAACTTTGAACATGCGCTGCAGATTTATGAGAAAAACTTCCATCTTATTCAGAAACACAAGGCAAGTGATTTATGTTGTCTTTTTCACTGGGGTCATCAACTGTTGTTGTACACTACTGTTCAAACGTTTAGTAAACATTAAATGTTTGGGATTGGTAAAGCTTTTAGAAAAAGTATTTTATGCTCACCAAGGCTGCATTTATTTGATCAAAAAATATAGTAAAATCAGTTTTCTATTTTAATATTTAAAAAAAGCTGAATTTTCAGCACCCATTACTCCAGTCTTCAGTGACGCATGAACATGGTCCTTCAGAAATCATTCTAATATGCTGACTTGAAAAATGTAAAAGTATCTTTAGATCTATTTAATTAGAAATTGCTGAATAAAAGGGAACGATGTACTAAATGTAACTTTCCCTTTGTGTTTTTCACGTACTGACAACAATGTTGTCAAACGATCCCGTTCAGACAGATCTGCAAATAAGATTAAAAATGCTGTATAATGCATGCCAGGCCAGTATTTGGTGAGGTCACTTTGTAAAGTTACACAATATGGACACATACACATGTGGATGACATGACCATTTTCACAAATTCCTGTTTTTTTGTAGTTTGTACTTTTCAGGCCCTCAAAATGCTGTTTTTTTGTGTAAATGAGCAGCCAAATCACAAAAAGTGTTATGTTTTTAGTTGTTAAATTGTGGATTTTTTGGAAAATATGCTTAAATTAATATGCAGTGATAACTAACCAAACAGAGTTACTTTTACAATGTTAGTTATGCAAACATTATGCACTTTATTTTTTTTAATGGGCATATTCTAAGATTTTTTCTTTTTTTTTTCAGGTTCAGACACGGACTGTAGCAGAATGTGTGGCTTTTTATTACATGTGGAAAAAGTCGGAACGTTTTGACTTCTTTGCTCAACAGAACCGATTCGGCAAGAAGAAGTACAGTTGTTACCCGGGTGTGACGTAAGTGCAGGGATGCGAAATTGGTTCTTTTTGCCTGTTGAGTACTGTGTGTTTCAACGAAAGTAAGTGTTGGTTGTGTCCTCAGAGACCTGATGGACAGGCTGGTGGATGAGGCCGAGGGTCTGGCGGTGGACAGCTCTTTATCCGTGTGTTCGACAGGAGCAGGGGGAAGGATGGAGGCGTCAGCCGAGCAACAGCTCGGACTGCTCAACTCTATCACTGCTAGTGACCTTACAGGTGAGCTAAGCTGCCACAGTGGTCATGATTCACAAATGATTTATTCTTAGGAATTTATTAGTCGTTTATTCTGGTCCTTTTAATGAATGGTGGTAAAATGATTTTTAGCAGTTTGAATCAGATGAACCCTTCATTGAGTTAACTGAATCAATCAGAGCAGCTACTAAATCATATGAGTAATTTACTGACTAATTGATTATGTAACAAAAGGTTGTTAAAACAGATTTGCCTGTATTTCTTTTTTGGATTATATTAATAATTTTTTTTTTACCTTTTTTGTTTTACATAATTATTATCATTAGGAAAAAACACTATTGTAATGCTTTCAGCAAGAATTTCTTCATCATACATCCCTGTTTTTTCTCCAGAAATTTTACACAAGTATAATGGTACACTGGTGGTCAAACGCTTTGAATAATTGTCCATTTTAACATATTTTGTATGTAATAGATTCTTGTGATGGCAAAGCTGTATTACGTCTTCAGTGTCATGATATTTAAGAAATCATTCCAATATGCTTTTTTAGTGCTCAGTTGTTATCAATTAATGTTGGTGCTCAATTATTACTATATATTTTAATAACACGGTTTTGGCGGTTGTAGAGTTACAAGGACGGTGTTCAAATACATAACTTTATACGTTAGCCAGTTTATAGACCATTTCACAAGATGTAAACAACACTGGTCCAGAAGCACTTCCTGTTTCAGTTTGTAACTGTTTTCTTTATTTCACATGTAAAGAAAACATCTTAAAGATGTTTGTTTAACTTTTTGATTCAGTTTTAAATGTTCTGTTGTTTGTATTTTATCCCAGCTTTTATGTAAAAAAAACTGAAACAGGAAGTGCTTCTGGACCAGTGTTGTTTACATCTTGTGAAATGGTCTATAATATCATGATTCAGTACGCTAGTATTTATTTGAGATACATTGTTTTTTTTTTATTAATCGAGCAGCAAAAAAATATTCTTTATATTCTTCGCTAGATTAGTAAACTAATCGATAAAATAATCGCCCAACTAATCGTTTAGTTATACCCCAGCCCTAAAATGATATTTGTAAATGTATTCTAATTGAAACGGTTATTTTTTTATTGTAGGAATATTTCACAATATTGTTTTTTTTTTAACTGTATTTTTGATCAAATAAACGCAGCCTTGGTAAGCATAAATTACTTCTTTCAAAAACATGACATTTTATTATTCCAAACCTTTGACTGCCAGTGTTTATTTGTAAAGTTCTAACATATGCACTCGTGCATTTTGACAAGATACAAAATTATAGTCTTTTTCTTGCAGCCCTTAGTAATAGCGTAGCAACTGTGTGCAACGGTCCAGGAGACATGAGCTGTATGGACTCCCCTTATTTCCCTCCTCTGGAGAGTTTACACAGAGGAGCCATGAACCATGATGATCAGCTGAGCTACACCACAAACGGAGACAGCGGCTGCCTCAGCATGCTGGATTCTGGCTTCTACCGCTCGGATCTGGGTCAGATCAGCGTGTGCAGCACCAAAGACTGCGAGCGGCCCTCCAAGAGGCTCAAGATGGGCCTTTCGGAGTCCTTCATGAACGATGTGTCCGTTACTAACCTGGGCGTGGACTTCGAGGGCAGACGCGCACGTCGCATTACGGGCACCACGATGGCGGTGTCGGTCACAGACTTCAGCAGCATAGGGAGCGGTGAAGCCAACAGTTTTATCAGCTCTCATTCACGACACCACCAACACACTGCACTTCAGTCTGACTGACTTCTTTCTGCCACCCAGACACTGACTCATCTGCTCACTGACTATTAGTTCTTTTTTAAATTAAGAAATCTATATATATATGAATATATGAGTATATATGAATATACCTTTTGGTCGTTTTTTTGTTTTTGGAATATGACATCAGTGATGTCTTTATTGTACAGAGCTAAGAAATCTTGATTTCTCAAGAGTTTAAATAGCCATTTATTTTTCTGGTCCTTCAGATATTTAATATCCTTTTTGTCTTCGGTGATATACAGTTAAACCTAAATGCTGGAGCTAAAGTCTTTTACTGTTCTCATCCCAACGCCTGCATCTTTGTTTTATCGTCTCACGGATAAATGGCTGCTGCCAAAACTGCATTTTATTTTTTTTGTTACAGGCTTTTCGCTTTTCATGTATGTGTGTCTGTTTCAAAAATGGGTACTTTTTTTCCAGAGTTTACACCCCCGAGATAGACTAAGCCTTGGGAAATGTAGCATTTTGTATATCAGGAAACTGGCTCTTGTAAGTGAAAATAGTGAGCAGGAGTATTACGTTTAAACAGCACTTTGTTTCTCGTTATTGGTTGGTGTTCGAGTTAGGATGTTTTTAAGTATAAGCTTTAATAACTCAATTTATTGTGGTAATCTGATAACTTTTTTTTTTTTGGTTGATCTTTTTGCTTAATTGTTAAATTTTGTGTATTACAACAATTGACTGAGAAGAACACTAATTGAATCTTTCTCAGAAATGTAGATTTTCCAGTTCCCAAAGTTTCCACTATAGTTTTTTTTTTGGTCCAAGATTTGGCACTCAAGTAACAATAACCTCCAATAGCATTTTATGAGACTGATTGGCTCTATGGGACAGTTGCCTGCACTCTACAGTATTAGCATAAATATTAAACTGTGAAGTGTGCAGGACATTTATGATTCCCCTTTGAGCATGCAAAGCTATTTACATTCATTTTTTTTTACAAAGTCTGCTGCTCTAAACTGCAGGCGCTTTAGTACCAATTGAACCAGTGTTATTTTTTTTTCCCGCTATGCATTATGTATATTTCGTAGCTGTCAGGGGTAATGAGAACACCTGAATGTTAATTGAGATAATTATTAATCACTCTGGACCTCTTTTTATGTTAAGCTCTCTATCTTAAGTTCTTTACCATTGTTGTATATTGTATGCATGAAGCAGATTGGACTCTTGTTGATCCTTTGACATATTTCAAGCTGATTAATACTAAATGCCAAAAAGCAATCAGCTTGCCACACTGTATCAAAACCGATACTGCCTCTGAGCTCGAGTCCTTCCTGTTATTTGCATTTAAAACAATTTACCATAAAACTAATTTGTATATTAAAAGCCCTGACTTTGATTGGGGTAATGCAAAAATGTTAGAAAAAAAAAATAAGTTTTTGATGTATGGCAATATGTAGATATGTATAGAATGTTGTTCTTCTGTAAGTCTTACAATATCCATATCTTATTCTTGCCTTTGTTTCTTTACTGCAGTGAGACGTCAAAAACATGCATGTTCATGTTTGTCGTTGCAAAAGTACCACACCATTTTTTTTATTTTTTTTTTGGAGAGAGAGAGGTGTGTAGAAATGGAAATCTGTGTGGCACATGCTTTTTGGACACTCCCATTTAAACCCATTTGTTCATCTCTTTGCTTTCATTCGTTCACTTGATACTTACCGGCTGCTAATAGTAATGTGAAGAGTCTATTTTCTATTGAATGCACTGCAGTTCCAATTATAATTTGAGTTTAAAGAGTCTTTTGCATCTACATAGTTAAAACACAGGGAAGTACTCGTTGGTAGCATGTTTGGAGTTACGATTACAAAAGCTGATTGAAATGGATCCATAGATGCTATTATTCTTTGACTGGATAGAAAGCACTACAAAGAGTTTATATCTGCCAATCTTTTTCGTTGAAAATGTTTTCAGTGTCTGTACATCAAGCAGAGAACTTTATCATGCACAACTAATGTAGTACTTGGTGCTCATATAAAAAAGTTTTTTTATTTTCATACTTAAAAAGGTCTCCGTGCTCCTACTATTCTGTATTAGTACTTTTTATAAATGAAACCGTGAACTTCAGCAAGATTTGCTTAAGTACATTGACAGTAGTTTCACCCTTTTGCCTATTGTTTCATTTTAAAGATAAACTAAAATACCAGAATGTACAGGTTGTTTTGACCTATCGAAGTAAACGTTTTACATCTTAAAAATATTGAGAAAAGTTTGGTAAAGTGGATGTGTGTTTTATTATGTATTTAATTTAGAAATTTAAAAGAATTATTAAATAGAGGTTTTCACATTCAACCATGGATGGTAAAACTTGTGAATAAAACCAACAAATCTTATAAATGTATATTCATATATATACACAGACAATCATAACATTACAGAATTATTCAGATATCGCTATTGTTTATAAAATATGTACATATAATTGTATTGCTTTGTGGCTGGTTTTTCATTATTTTGTATTTTTGTTGTACTTTATTACTTGGTGTAAAAAGCCCCAGAAATAAAAGCTCTGGAAACAAATGTGGTAATTTGACTGGTTAAATAAAAATAAAATACAGAGATGGTGGTTATGATTAAATTAAATAAGAAAAGACAACTGAAAACTTTCAAAAATTAGTACATATTTTAATCGTTTTGATTTGCAGTACTCTGTGATTCATTTTGTTGTTTGGCACTGAATGCTTTTCTCTGAATCCAGAATACATGAGGAAGTTTATCAACTCTGTTCATGATGGTCAGAAGAGGTGCTGGACAAAGTGGCCAATACAACACAGATGGATTGAAGAATAGGAAGGCAAAGAGTTTTGCATTTCAATGTAAGTACAGAGCAAATGTCAAATGATAATCTGTATGTACAATATAACTATAATTTATTTAGATGACATCATGAACTCTTATACTGAGAAAAAAAAAGCAAGTTGTCAGATTTCCACAAATAAGAAGTCTGAATAAACTGGACCAGACGAGTCACTCTGGTCCGCCTCGCTGCAAAAGAGAAAACAAGGTATGATCAGTGGTTTATTCATAATCTGGTCTATTTTTGTTCTGAAGATTACAACATTTATATAGAAGACTGTTAAAAGTGAAAGGCAATCAAATGGTGATATAAACAAATGAACACAAACCTGGATGTAGTCAATTTCATCTAATGCAAGGGTTCTTCTGCGGTATCTCTGAGGTAAATCTTTAATTACAGAGACGCTGTCAGGGGTTCCCGGCAGTCGGTTGATGGGTGCCGGTGGTCTGGGTGGAGGTGATATTGACGGTGCAGGAGGAGGTGCGGATGGGGAGATCTGTGGGAGACTGGCTGCAAGCACCTTCAGTGCCTCTTGTACTGGAAATACAGCAGAAACTTTTTTTTATACCAACAAACTCGTAGTGCGAGCAAGTTTACTACCATGATTCAAAAACTAAACCAATGGAAGTAGGCTAAACATGTACACAACTTACCATTCGGCCTAGGGACGCTGTTTCGATCTGGAAATTTAATTAAAGGTGCATGAGGTCGCACAACCTGCAAAGAAAAATAAAATGTAATGAGAAAAATTAAACAAAACAATTCTGCAGTGATATATCTACAACCGCAGACACTTACAGTTTTAATATTTAGAGATGCATTTAATGTACACAATGCGTAACGTGTTGCTGAGATAATAATGCGCTTTACAGATTTGAAATAAAGCGATAAACAGAGCCGAAACTGGGTCTGTCCACAAGGGCATCTGCCAAACCAGTGAAATCAATACATTTTGGTGAAGTAAAAACACCCAAGATCATATTTACTGAATACTATGCGGACAAGAGATCACCGTTTCAACAATGAGCACAAATGAGTGAGATGTCACAGCAATATGATCGCTATACAGACTGAAGCAAGTGTTTACCTGCACGACCCGACTGGCAGCTGCCATCTTGCCACTAACTTTGCTTCCCATGACGACATCCGATCACTGCTTCCGGTTCAAACACACAGACAAGACACAAGAAGACGCGTTAAGTGAACACATTAGCAACCTGAAGAGGGCACTGTCGTATTAAAACCTTACAATCTATGACTAAAACTTAAAGGACAAAGTTTTTTTTTTAACCGTCTATCTATGGGACAAACGCACAAACGCGGCAGACAAATAGCGATGGGAAGTTCGAGTCAAATTTGCGAATCGGTTCTTTTGAACAGTTCGTGTGTGTATGTATATTATGTTTCATATTACATATATGTATATGTATATATATATATATATATAATATAATATATATAATAAATAAAAAACTGGTTCAAAAATCAATTGGTTTTGCTTGGCTTAAATTTGTTTGAACGATTAAAAAACAAATTTAATATTAATAGGAGTAGTAGTAATGATGATGATAATAACAATAATACTAATATGAATATGAATAATAATGCTACTACAGCCAATTGTTTATCAAACCAGTCACGAAAGAGTTCAGACCTATGGTTCAGACCAGCTGGTTCAGACCATAGACTGTAAAAAAAAAAGCGGTTCGGACCAATTTTGCGAACCGGGTCAAATGAGTCACTGAAAAGATTCGACATAAAGGAAGAATTTACATTTGGCAACCAGACGAGGGCAATGTGTAAGGAAGGACTATAAATATCATAAAAGGGTTGTTTAAATAACGCATTAATTATCCAGAAGTAACAACAACCGTAATTTTCGAGTTTGTGGCAGAGAGGCTGTCAAATTAGCTACACCAGTATAATGAATGTTACTTGAAACAGTCCGTCATATATGCGAATTCATAAGCTTTGATATCACACATCAATACATTACTGCAGAAAAAAAAAAAACGCAAAATGAATCCACTGTACCCTTAACGTTACCCTAGCTCATCCTGTGTGGTTCTGAGTCTGCCATTAAAATACTGTTACACTAAACGTCACAAATCCACAGATCCACGCTTTATAATAAGCACAAAAAACATACATTCTTACCATCAATACGCTATCTACCAAGTTGAGCAATATAACCTTATTTTTCCATGTTGACCTCCGAGCCACACTAGTATGCACCGTCAAGATAGTCGCCTGTGAACGGCCAATCCTTTATTTCTGCTCATGCTTGGTTTGATGCAGGTAGGCGGGCTTTGTGGATCACCAAGTCACATGACTGTCACGTGATGCCAAGACTTCCTGGCGGCAGTTTCGTTTGTTTGCGGCTTGGAATCTTGTTACAAAACAGTAATATTAGTTAACAAAAACATCCAGAGCAAGAACCGGAAGCGACAGTAAGTGATACCGGTTTTAATTTATATACGTTTCATGTCTGTGGTCTCTTCAACAGATATCTGAATAGGATTATGTGTCCCCCCCCCATGCACAGACATACAAAGATGAGTTCCAGTAGCCATGATGGACCCTCCTCAGATACTGACCCTGCTGAAATAATGGCCCTGTCTGATCCATCATCCACTTCTGATGGAGTGACACCCACACGTTTGCTAAAGTGATTTTCCATTCTTTTATTGTTTTAGTTGTATGTTTTGTTGTTATCGTCTTGCACCAATTCGACTAGTACAAATTAACTGTGTACAACTTTATGTATATACAGCATGTTACAGATAACAGTGTTATTGTGCTCATTCTGTTTCTTGTATGTCTTGTTTTTTTCAAGAATGAAAGAAATAATGGAAAATCAGTGTTTTGAAATGAACGTTAAAGTCAGCATGGGTAAGCTTACACACACACACACACACACACACACACACACACACACACACACACACACACACACACACACACACACACACACACACACACACACACACACACACACATATATATATATATATATATATATATGTGACTAAAGGTTATCCACTAATAATTTTGCTAATGATAATTGTTTAATTCTTAGGAAAACACAAAGAGTCATGTGAAGCTGATGCAGATTTGTAAGTGTGTTTGAATTTATTAATACATCTCTATGTTTATACTGTATGTTATGAAATAATCCAACATTCATCTTTTTACCAATCTGTAGATCCAAGTATGAAAGTGCAATAGAGCATGCAAGACTCTCATACTTCAACAAAACACTGGTATTAAATAGGTAAATATGCTGTGGTATCAACCTTTTTTTGCAGTACAATCTCTGATGGTGTCCATGTTAAAATGTTTTTGTGTTCTAGAATGCAGATTTGGAATGCCATCATTGAAAAGATGATTCAGAATGATGCAGATTCTGAGTGAGTGAATCTTAATTTAAATACATCTGATCTATGAAGTCCGATATCCAGTTGTCCTAACAGTAAGGCAATGATCTTTCATCATACAGGGCACTAAAGGAACTGACCAATCAGAACACTGAGCTGTGTGAAAAGACCTTGAAAATCTTAAAGGTGGGACATTCCCTGTTCTGCTATAGGTTTTAGAAAAAAAATCATTTTCATTTATTTGAATAATTCAAATTTTAAATGTTTTTATGGCCATGTAATTCTTAATTGCTTTTTTTTCCCTCCAGGAAACACGAGAGCTTCAGGACCAGATCACAGATGTTCAAAAGGAGAGACTTGGTACTTACTAAGACCCAGATGAAATCATATAGACCTTTCAGACACCGTATTTTCTGCTCTGGTTTTTCGTATGAAAGCAACCTTGGTTAATGTTATATTTTGATGCAACATCTGAGGGGTCAAATTGTTTAAAAAAGAGAGAAAGCTTATTCTCACGTTTTCATTATGCAGGTTAGTAGAAACCATATCTCATTCATGTTTTCCTAGAGCTTAAAGGACGAATTAAGAAAAAAATGCTGGAGATAAATGAGTTGAAACAGGCGAAGGAAAATCAGGGAGAGGTTCAGCAGAGAGCCAAGGAAAGAGCTGAAGCGGTTCTACAGAAATACCAGAAAGTCACCACCATTTTACAAAATGTGCTCCGGGTACGTGGCATCTCAATGTTTGCTTGTGTACTTTTCTTCATTTTTGTTTCACCCTTGCTTTGTTATTGTTTTTTTAGGATCACAATGCATTTTGAACCTCTTTGTGATAAAAAATCTTGTTTTTCAGGGAATTATACTGGCCAGTAAAGTCAACTGGAGGGATGATCCTAAATTAAGAGACATTGCGATGGGACTAGAAAACATGCCTAACTAAAGAGGACCTATTTGAACACAGCTCTCTGAATAATGTATATAGTTCACCTGTTAGCATGTTCAGTGTAATGGTTTCTTATACATTTATGTTAAGGACTATGGCAAGAATGTTTCACTGAAACATGCACAATGCATATTTAAGATTTTCATAACAGCTCATTTTATATATAATCCGTATAAAATATTTTAGAAACATCCTGAATGAGGTGTGAGGTATATATTAGATTAAATGCAACTCCATTTACAGATAAAATGCTCAAACTGATGCTTAATAAAAGTAACATGGAACCATGTTCACAAGTTTTGTCTCTGTAACATCATGCATTTGCATGTAACAAGTTATTCAATAAGAAAAACGGCCTTTATGGCTAGTTGGCTTTTGATTGATATTATTCAATA